CAAATCAACCAGGTTCTGGGGTATGATTTAGGAATAATCTCTCCAAGAGCCCATCCAGAAATTATGTTTCTGCTGTTATGGAGTTAACAGTATTGCATAGATATACAATAGGGAGCTATGCAGGTTGGTAATATAACTCTGCAAAATAAAGAATTCCTAAATTGTCTCCAAATTATTTGACATGCAGATGGTGCAAGATAACCCAGAAAAGTATTGGTGGCCTGGAGATAGTGAATAGGGAAAGTTGTATATGCAGTTATTAATCTCGGATAGCTCATTCACACATGCCTTTGATGCTACATTCAACAAGTTGTGAGTGCCTGGATAGCTTAGTTTAGGGGTAGGCAAACTAAGGCCCGGGGGCTGGATCTGGCCCAATCGCCTTCTAAATCCGGCCCAGGGATGGTCCGGGAATCAGCGTGTTTTTACATGAGCAGAATGTGTCCTTTTATTTAAAATGCATCTCTGGGTTATTTGTGAGACATAGGACTTCATTCATACTTTCCCCCCAAAATATAGTCTGGCCCACTTCATGGTCTGAAGGACGGTGGACCAGCCCACGGCTGAAAAAGGTTGCTGACCCCTGGCTTAGTTGGTCAGAGTGTGGTGCTGATAATGCCAAGGTTGCAGGTTCGATCCCTGTATGGGACAATTCCATATTCCTGCATTGCAGGGGGTGGACTAGATGATCCTCAGGGTCACCCAACACTACAATTCTGTTATCTATGACCTATGAACCAGCCCATGATGATGGGGAGAATCTGAACATTCTTCCAAACAAGACTCTTTAAGAAACTATTACTACTGGGAAGAGAGATTGCTCAGTTTCTTCTGCTTGTGTGTTTTTTAAAAACAGTTACACCCCACTCTTTTCATATTGTTCAAGGCAATTTACGGAAATAGTAGACATGTAACACAATTGTCCGATCGAAAGATCGGCGGTTCGAATCCCCGCGGCGGGGTGCACTCCTGTCGCTCAGTCCCAGCGCCTGCCAACCTAGCAGTTCGAAAGCACCCTCGGGTGCAAGTAGATAAATAGGGACCGCTTACCAGCGGGAAGGTAAACGGCGTTCCGTGTGCTGCGCTGGCTCACCAGAGCAGCGATGTCACGCTGGCCACGTGACCCGGAAGTGTCTCCGGACAGCGCTGGCCCCCGGCCTCTTGAGTGAGATGGGCACACAACCCTAGAGTCTGTCAAGACTGGCCCGTACGGGCAGGGGTACCTTTACCTTTACCTTAATGTAGCACTAAGGGGAACATTCCATTAGTGCAGGGATTTCTTCTTGCATAATGGAACATTCCCCCCTCCTCCCCTCTCAATCTGACCTGGGTTCCCCCACACAACCCCCCAGATCAGATCTGGGAACTTTGCAGGGCATGTCTTGCAGAAGGAGGAGGGATCCTGTTGCGCTAGCACTAATCCTGGCACTAGCACAACTATTCACTTGAATACTTCCTATTAAAACAGCGACATACTGTATAAAAGAAAATCAATAAAAGCCAGCAATTAGTTTAAAAGCAGCTGCAGGTTTTTTTTGGGGGGGGAGCAGCACAAAACATAACAAATGCCAAATAGGGGGAAAGTTGGGAGCATGCAATTACAGTAAAAGGTAAGGGGACCCCTGGCCATTAGGTCCAGTCATGGCCGACTCTGGGGTTGTGGCGCTCATCTCGCTTTATTGGCCGAGGGAGCCGGCGTACAGCTTCCGGGTCATGTGGCCAGCATGACTAAGCCGCTTCTGGCGAACCAGAGCAGCGCACGGAAACGCCGTTTACCTTCCCGCCGGAGCGGTACCTATTTATCTACTTGCACGTTGACGTGCTTTCGAACTGCAAGGTTGGCAGGAGCAGGGACTGAGCAACGGGAGCTCACCCCGTCGCAGGGATTCGAACCGCCAACCTTCTGATCAGCAAGTCCTAGGCTCTGTGGTTTAACCCACAGCACCACCCGTGTCCCTTGCAATTACAGTAGGCAACACTAAAAACCAGCTGCAGCAGGCCAAAGGTGTTCCTAAATGAGAAGGTTTTAATGGTGTGATTGAAGGCCACCAAAGATGACTCAAGACTCCTTAAGTGGGGAATTCAAAAGTTTAGACACAGCAGCAGTGAACGCCAACCTTGTCCCACCCAAATATGGGTTTGGAACTCAGAAGAGGGTCTCCACAGATGATCTTAAAAAAGCAGGCAGGCTTTTGTGGGAGAAGCTATTTCTTATGTCCACCTGCTATTTAAGGTAAATAAATACACGCAACATTAGAGCACTTTTTTAATTTGCACTGAGGACAAGTCAGTTGGAGTAATTTTAAACTGACCAGATGTTAAACCTAGACTGAGGGGCAGGGAGACCTTTACAGCACATTCAAAGTACATTTCCCCCCTAAAATAATTTTGGGCGCTGCCAGTTGTGAGGGCTAAACGTTAGTGCCCAGTATTCCTTTGAGGGACAGCATGTGCTTCAAGTGTGCTTTAAAGATTAGCGCGTACACAAGATGCCAACCAGTAATATCACTTTATTACCATATTTTTCCGTGTATAAGGCGCCCCCTACTTTTGGGGATCCCAAATTAAGAAAATGGGGGAGATGGCCCAGAGTTGTTGAGCTTTTTGGGGGGCAGGATTGCCAGAGTTGTTGAGTTTTTTTTGGGGAGGGGAATGCCCCGAAAATCACTCACCCAACGCTGCCAATTGCGTGCATCGTAGGAGAAAACAAGCGCCTGCCCGCTCACCACCAGTAGCAGCCAATTGCACACACAATTGCCACAGCGGAAGCCAATCCACAGCAGCCTTTGACACAACCACCAATCAGCCACCAAATTGACGCACCAGCTGCCAATCCTAAGCAGCCCTAGCAGCAGCCAACAATCACCCAGCCAATCGCCGCTGATAAGCTCCTGCTCACAGCTGCAACCAATCACCCGTCCCGCATATGCACTGTGTATAAGACTCCCCCTGATTTTTAACCTTATTTTACAGTAAAAAAAACAAACCCATGTCTTATACACGGAATAGTACAGTATTTCACAGTCTATGCACTAGCAAAAAGATGTAAGGGAGCAAGCAACTGGAGTTAAGTAAAATATAATAATAATAATAATAATAATAATAATAATAATAATAATTTATTATTTATACCCCGCCCATCTGGCTGGGCCTCCCCAGCCACTCTGGGCGGCTTCCATAGAAACCAAAAATACAGTAAAATATCACACGTTACAAACTTCCCTGAACAGGGCCGCCTTGAGATGTCTTCTGAATGTCAGGTAGTTGTTTATCGCTTTGACATCTGCTGGAAGGGCGTTCCACAGGGCGGGCACCACTACCGAGAAGGCCCTCTGTCTGGTTCCCTGTAGCTTTGCTTCTCACAATGAGGGAACCGCCAGAAGGCCCTTGGCGCTGGACCTCAGTGTCCGGGCAGAATGATGGGGGTGGAGACGCTCCTTCAGGTATACTGGACCGAGGCCGTTTAGGGCTTTAAAGGTCAGCACCAACACTTTGAATTGTGCTCGGAAACATACTGGGAGCCAATGTAGGTCTTTCAAGACCGGTGTTATATGGTCTCGGCGGCCGCCCCCAGTCACCAGTCTAGCTGCCTCATTCTGGATTAGTTGTAGTTTCCGAGTCACCTTCAAAGGTAGCCCCACATAGAGCGCATTGCAGTAGTCCAAGCGGGAGATAACCAGAGCATGCACCACTCTGGCGAGACAGTCCGCAGGCAGATAGGGTCTCAGCCTACATACCAGATGGAGCTGGTAAACAGCTGCCCTGGACACCGATTTGACCTGTGCCTCCATGGACAGCTGTGAGTCCAAAATGACTCCCAGGCTGCGCACCTGGTCCTTCAGGGGCACAGTTACCCCATTCAGGACCAGGGAATCCTCCACACCTGCCCACCTCCTGTCCCCCCAAAACAGTACTTTTGTCTTGTCAGGATTCAACCTCAATCTGTTATTTAGAAGTAAGGTATCTCTCCTATCAAATAAATGAATATATGTTATTTATTCATTTATTTGATAGGAGAGATACCTTACCTTACCTTACATTACATTTACACTACATTTGCCTAAAGAACATCACCAAATCTAGTAAGTTCATACTCATAAAGGTAATTTTTTAAATAAAAAAAGCATTCACACTGCCACACACGGAATATAGAGCCTATGGACACACTGTTAAGACCGTATTCATGGAAGACAATATTACTCAGCTACGAGTGATTGCCAAAGAAGAGGAGGATAAAGCCATAACCAGGTAATGCAAAATCAGCTGTGTGGGCAGCTACCATCTCTGGGAGAACAAGGGAAGGCAAAGAAGGAGAGGCTGAGAGAGATAAGATATCTGTGCTTCTCAGAGCATGCAGGGACACAAAACCAACTTCATATTTATTTATTTATTTATTTATTCATTCATCAAATGATGAGATTTTCAAATTGATTTGGGTTCCAGTGTGGGGCAGAACCAAAACAGAGTGCTCTAGAATTGTAACTGTCATTCTCCCTCAATAAATAAATGTGGCAGAACTCTTTAAAGTCTGCCTAGCTACCCCACATAGCCATAAAGAGAAGCGTTGTCATCGGCCTGTTTCAACTGGTAAGCAGCCCGCAAAGAATGATAAGTTTCCATAATGGCTCAAAAAAGGCCCCATAATAATCTGTGATCAGGATCTCTGATTTGAGCAACAGAGACAGGAAGAAGCATCGAATTAGGAAGAGTGCTTGCATTTGTAAGAAAAGGCTTTGCAAAAATAAAAAGATAACAATAACCTATAAAGGGCAATTAAAAGAAATGGGGCAGGTCTCATCCATATTTGATAAACCATATGACTAACCATCATTTCCACTGCTGTGCATTAGAAATGCTATTCAAAGTTGGATAGCGGTTAAAATTATATATTGCCTGTGCCTGGCCTAAATTGTTTTTTTTTCCCCCTCTTAAATGTACACAATATTACAAATTTAATTTTAAGCTGTTTGAATCAGTCTATAAAAAAGATTTGATTATACCTGAGTGTTCTGGCCCCGCTCTTTCCATATCTCAGTAATCTTGGCGGTAATTGGCTGATTAGGTTCCTCACACTCCATCTCTGCCTCAGTTTCCATGGTAATGTTACAGGAGCTATTATAGATGAGAACTTCATCTCTTTCCACTTTAGGGCTGAAACGAGAAGGGAGGTTAAATGGGGTGTCATCAATCTTAATGAAATGCAATTATTTTTACTCTTATTAATCATCGCAAGCCATTAGCTTGTGGCAACTGCAGGCCACCATTTGTCAAACTTTGCAAATTTCTGTAATTTTGTTTCCATTCTTTTATTGTTTATTTGTTTTGCCTCCCCACCCCCTTTATCTACAAACCCTCTCCACAAAAATACACATAGGAAATGTTTTTCAGTGATGCCATTCTGCCTGCCGATCAAAACGTATGTACACATTCAGTTCCAGGACAGAGCAAACACAAGAACGGACAACTAAAGACAACAGACACTGCTTGAGTCAAAAATGGCAGCAAACCCCAGGTAGCGCTTGTCTCTTTTCCCTCTCTTACTCACACTTAATCCTGGGGAATGAATAACTTGCAACTCCCTTAGGGCAAGCGCAGAAATTGGAAAAACCACACAACTGGCTAACTGGTCCCTAATTCCAACTGTGAAAAAATGAGCTCATTTAGGGTTCCAATTCCTGCTACCCAGCTGATAGCAATGATGCTTTCTTGCTAGCACTGGAACATTAACTTAGTAAATTAATTAAACTTACTTAACAGCCCAGGCTAAGCAGATTCGATATATGTGCCAGTTAGTTTAACAGGCCGCTTTCCCCCCCGAAATCTCTTCTCTCATTGGGAAGTGGGAGATGGGGTGGGGAGAAGGAATAATAATGGAAATAGCAAAGGGGTGCTCTTAATTAGGCCCGCTTGCTAACAGCTGCTCACTTGTGTGGGGAACTTCTAAAGTTCTGGTATCTATTTCCACCTACCAGAGCAACCATTTTCATTCCTTTCAGCTGCCTTAAAAACCTCAGATTTACTTGCCCCTAACACTCTGTGTTTGTGAGAGGGTTTATTTCCCCCCCCCCAAAAAAAATTCTGCATTTCTCCTCAGGACCATCACAGGAGAGAGAAAAGCGCCACAAAATGGTTCTGCAGGATTTGTCTGCTTTAATGGTATATACGTGGCAAGCAGACCTTCATCAGATAAAACTTTTTTCCTTATAGATACAGGGATGCTGTTGCTTGGGTTGCACAGGAGCCCTATTAGCAAAGCAGCTGGCATCCTGACTGGGTTTCTTGTGTTCCCAACAGTATCCTGAGAAACAGAAACAGACATTTGGGAAATTCTCCCACAGATAATGTGACTGGTACAAAGCAGGCAGTTACAGAAAGGCCAGAATTTGGCAGGTGCTGCTCTTTTTGCCCTGCAAGACAAATGTGCTTGCCAAAATCCAGTGGATCTAAAGTTGCCAGAGCCCCAGGGCCACCCCCACCCTGTATTGGCCCACACTGGGGCCATTCCACTGACTACCACTTACAGGAGATCCAGTGAAGGGAGCTTATCCTGCCCTCTTGGGCAGAGCTGGGAACAGCTCCCTATCAGAGCCACTCCTCTTCAGGAGGGCTGCCATCGCTCTGTCGCATGCAGGGAGTTAGCAGGAGCGAGGAGGCAGCCACTGTGCCTGGAGTTGCCAACCTTTTGAAATGGCCCTGCTATTCTGCTTCCAACAAACGCCTGGCAACATGTATTTAGCATATAGCGTATTTTTCCGTGTATTATACAAGGGGTTTTTTATTTTAAAACCATGTTAAAAATCTTGGCTCGTCTTATGCACAGGTAGTGCTGCGGGGGGATGTGCAATTGGTTGCAGCTGTGAGTTGGAGATTCTCTGTGGTGATCTGGCAGCTGATTGGTGGTTGTGTGAAGGGTTGTGGGTTGCCACTGAGGCAATTGGGCAGTATGCGATTGTCAGCGTCTGTTCAGCAGGGGTGAGCAATTTTCGGCATTCCCACCCCCCAAAAAAGCTCAGCAACTCTGGGCAATTCCCCTAAAAAAAGCTTAACAACTCTGGGCAATCTCCCCCCATTTTCTTTCAAGTCCCCCAAAATAGGGGGTGTCTTATACACGGGGCAGTGTTACACACGGAAAAATATGGCATGTTTGCAAAGATGAAACCCAGAAGTGCACATCTTTACATTTAAAAAATGTGCTCCTGTATTTCTGGCATTTCCCTCCCATCTTGTTACAAACAAGACTTCAGGTGAGTTGCAAGGGAGGGAAGAAGCCTTAAAAGGTGGGGAGCTACAACAGCTTCTGAAAATCCAACTTCAGCAGTAGATTTGAAGGCAAAATGGGAGTCTCTTGATTTACAACCTGGCAACTCTAATCAGAAGTGTTTACTTCTTATGCACTGCTAAAAACACAGGACTAGAACTAGTAAAAATCAAAGCAACTGATAATGTAGTCAGTTGCCCAAATACCCAACCAATGTTACCACAAGGAGGAATTGGTACCAAACGATTCACATGCATCAGTAACACTGGACCTTAAGCCAATAGCAACCCTGCTGGTCAGTACGTGATGAACAAACACTGAATGGGCACTCTGAATACTGCTTAGGTTGTTGACTTAAAGTAGTGAGGGGGGTCATTCTTCTGCTTTTCATAATCCCTAATCTTTTCCCCCCAGTGGCATTCACCAGATGTTGCTTTGGATCAGAATACACACACAGGAACAAAGTAAAATGTTTACTAGATGGATCATCTGGTGTCCCTCAGACTCAAATAATACTTTAAAAAGACAAAGGAAGACATGCTTTGATATCAACAATGAATGGATTTCACGTTCAATCAGGCAGATCTCTCTGCAGGCCAAAGCACATTCTGCTATCGCCAGGCTAGCAAGTGCAATGACATGCCTGTTCCTCAGTTTGAGACCCGTCCCTACAAAACTTGAGTGCTCCTTACAAAACAGTGCACTGGAGTCCAGCCACTGTCCAGCAGAAGGATCATGTCTAACCTGATAAAAAGGCCAGCAAAATGGATGCCAGATGAGTTGACAGCAGCCTTGCGAGGTAGCGAAGAGGAACACGTTGAATCGTCACAAAGGTATCGGTACGGTGTGGCTGCCATCACAACATAAGCACTCGCTCTGATTCGGATGTCACACTGGATCAGAGCTGCACCCGGCTGCTTCCAGTCATCTCCCTTATCTTCCAAAGAGCATGTCAAGCTGCACAGAACTGCTATGGAAGCTGGAGAAGAGAGAGGGAAATCACCAGCCATCAATATTCGTTTGGCACTGCCACTCTTCTTTGGCGAGGCTTGCTCCTGTTTGTCTTGCAAAAATGATGGGGATAGTTTAGTAGCTTACTCAGTTGGTTTGTCACACTACTGCTAAAAACACAAGGAGGAAGGCGAGTTAAAAGTCGCCAGCCTTGAATAAGTAAGCACTTTCATTAGCAATTTTCTTATCCCAGCTTTGTTACTATTCACATTAAAGCTTTCTCAGGGTGGAATGGTTTTGCTGTATTTTGCCATTGGGTATCACTTGAACTGAAGGGCAACATGGAAACTTATCCAATAAAAATAAACAAACTACGCTTCACATGCAGTTCCACCATTCTTTCTAGACTTTTGTTTAATAAAATGCAGCCATTGAGTCTGCAATTTGGAGGAGGAAATGGATCCAGATAGGTCAAGCCCCCCCCCAAAAAAACAATTTGTTTTTATCACAATTGGTGCATACTATTTGTTTTCCATCATAGGGGTATAAAAACTGCTGCAGGTAATAGTAGGAAGGTGATATAAGGAGAAAGGGCAAAGAAGTCTCTCTTCCCCCTTTCAAATTGTGACCTTAACAACTGAATTTTGCTTTCTAAAAATCTGTAGTGTAAAAAAGAACTACACAACAAGTACTTCAGCCTTCAGACACTGATTATCTAAGGCAGGGGTCAGCAAACTTTTTCAGCAGGGGGCTGGTCCACTGTCCCTCAGACCTTGTGGGGGGCCGGACTATATTTTGGAAGGGGAAAAAAAATAATGAACAAATTCCTATGCCCCACAAATAACCCAGAGATGCATTTTAAATAAAAGGACACATTTTAGTCATGTAAAAACATGCTGATTCCCAGACCATCCGCGGGCCTTTAGTTTGCCTACCCATAATGTAAAGTCATAAAGTATTTGGATATTTGGATAACAGCCATATTCACAATAGTTTTAGTAGATGTACATGCATTATAGCTGGTCAGATATTCATAATTAGAGAAAAGGTCCAAAATCCATAGGCAGGGAATGTCTTTGAGGTATAGGGTTGGAAGGGACCCCGAGGGTCAGTCTAGTCCAGCCCCCTGCAATCCTGGATTATGCAAGTGGCCCATATGGGGGCTCATTGGGCTGGGTGCTACACAGAATAGGAGTTTGGGGTTGGGGGCTGCGGGGAGGGACAAAAATACAAAAAATAGTGTGATTGTTGAAGCCTTGCCGTTTCCCTTCCCCTCATCTCCCAACTCCTGCTGTGTGTTTAACATCCAGCCTGATGAAGAGCAAAGAATGCTTGCTTTTGGGTGCCAACTGTACAGACTTAAGCCTCTGGGCAAATGCAAATGTCTTTGTCTGGTGCTGAAAGATGCCAGGCATACCTGTTCTGGGAGGGCAATCTCAGCACTGCAGAGAGTGGGCAGGGAGAGAGAGAAAGTCACACACCCTATGTGCAACTCTTAGAGCGCAGGAGCCCTTGCAGGGTCTCTAACCAACAGCCCTGTGCAAAAGTGACTCAAAATGCAACTTACCTGTTCCACTTCCTTGGCTTACGCACAAGACTTGAGCCAAGTTGACAAGGACTTTTTACAATGCCCTTGCTTGAACCCACATACCTTCCTCCTCCTTTTCACTGCCTTAGCTCAGGTGTCATTGACAGCGGCAGGCTCACACGTTTCAACACGTGGAATTTTTCTCTCCCCAAACATCCCTTCAAATGTCCATGTCATGAAAAGGTCCACCAGTTTAACCAACCTCTGTCAACTTGTTAAAGACACCATAAAAGAGGCAGTAGCAAAAAGAAAAAATGTAAACCCTCAGCCTGCAACATGTAAAGCAGCTCAAGGTGCCTCTGGGAACTTTCCCCTCAAGTCCCTTTTCAGAAATTTGCTACTGGTCACGTTCACACACAGCAGTACTTCACTCATTTCATTAACAAGACTAACTGGGTGAAAGTGATGAGAGGCAAGTACTAGTAATCCATAAAAATGCTCTGGCAATTCATCAAAACTTCAGCTGGACTACAGTCGCACCTTGGTTGACGAACGCCTTGCAAGTCAAACATTTTGGCTCCGGGACGGCGCAAACCTGGAAGTGAGTGTTCTTGTTTGCAAGCGTTCTCTGGAATTGGAACATCCAACGGGGCTTCCGATTGGCTGCTGGAGCTTCCTGCAGCCAATTGGAAGCCACGCCTTGGTTTCTGAACGTTTTGGAAGTAAAACAGACTTCCAGAATGGATTCCGTTTGACTTCTGAGGTACAACTGTATATATTTCTTAAGTCCCAGACATGTGATATCGTTTCTATACTTTCAAAACACATTTTCAACTGCAGGTGCAAAGAAATTACAAGAAAAATAAGCTTTTCAATTTTCACTCAGTCCTAACAAAAACATCATAGACAGCCCTAAGAGTCGAAAATGCATTTTCATGCAAAAAAGAAATTGAACAGCACCAATATCACATAATCAGTTCTCTCCATGTTTCGTTTGCAGGCTCCCGTCCCACAAATGCTGCCAAATCCTGTGTCCGACTTCACTAGAATGATTAGCAAGAGAAATGTTTGCCATGGGCTTTGTCTAAGGAAATCAACTGAAAGGACTGCAGCTCATGTCTAAGAACCAAAGTTCTTATGATAGCCACACAAACCCCTCTCACTGCTGGGACATTTTTTGCTGCGTATGTGGCACACGTTCAGTTGCCCCTGGCTATTCTCCTAATGGGTCACATAAACCAGAGGTGGGCAATCTTTTTTTCTCTCTGCATTCCTTCAAGGTCAGAGCTGATAATGGAAACAGCCAGATCAAAAAGCATTCTGTATTAACTAACATGAAATAAAGTCCAACTTGTTTCAGTTTTCAGCATGGCTGTTTCAAATAAGGGTGTGGGAGGAGACAGTACAACAGATTAATACAGCTACTGTTCTGGAAAGCAAGTGAAAGTAATTCCTTTCTGACGTGTGTGTGTGTGTGTGTGTGTGTGTGTGAGAGAGAGAGAGAGAGAGAGAGAGAGAGAGAGAGAGAGAGAGAGATGAGGGATAAACGTCTTTTCCCTAAGCCATACAACCAGGAAACATTTTTTATCTTTTGTCCTTTAAATCAATTTATTTTTATCCAATAAATTATTTCTTCTTCCCATTGTTCTGAAACCAAAAAGGAACAGAAAGGGAGGAATTCTGATGGCATGTAAGAATAGGGCAACTTCAGGAGAAAGTTGCGTGTTGCTGAGCACACCTGCCTTGATACCACATTCAGTTAATTTAGCTGCATTTCAGCGTCTGCTCCCAAAAATCTTTCACTTACCTTTCCCCTCATCACTTTAATTTTTCTCCTATACTTCAGATTGCCAATATTATTGGCTGGAGGCCATCACAACTGCCCATTCCATTCCTCCACCAAACTCTGTCTTTCCCCATCTTCTACCTGCTTAGCTTGTAGCAATCAAAATTCAGAGGCAGCCTGTTCCACATCAATCAGCTCGTACCATCAGGAAGTCCTTCCTAATGGGCAGGCAAAGCCCCCTTTCTTGCTGTTTGAAGTCATTGTTTGGACCCTACCCTAGAGCAACACAACACCTCTTTGCTTCCTCACCTGTGTGAGTGACAGCTAGTTTCCTTTGCCCCATGAGCTGCCCCAGTGGCACGCAGGGCAAGATGCCTTGGGTTTGCTCCCAAAGTCCCTAGTTTGAAGACTCTGGGACCGTATAACAGTGCCATGAAGGAATATCCTACAACTGCTCGCAGTAAGCAAACATCCATACAAGCCTTTTGGAGCCGATATCCCAAAATAAACCCAAAACCTCTCCCAACAGTTTCTCTTGTACACAACTATTGCCCTTCCTTCATACTCACCTGTGGCACAGAGTGATTTCCTGTTCTTGCCAGGTCCTCTCTCTGGACTGGCCTACCTGTGCTGTTGTGTAACATAGGGTGTTTCTGCTGAAAATCTCAGCTGTCGCTGCCAAATTTTATTCATGCGTTTACACGCAGACTATTTCTCATGGGCTGTCTTTTATTACAATTGCAAAAACAGTGACAACTACCTTCCATTCTCTTGTCTGAAGCAACCGGAAACAATAAAATTCTTTATACCACATCAGCAGCACATAATCTAACCGAAACTTCCCCAGCCAAATTACTAAAGGATATTGATCGAATCAAATGTTCATTTGCTGACATCTAATGGCAATTTAAAGTATTGCAAGGAGTCAAAAGCAACAACCCCTCTCCTGTGCACAAACCAATTTTAACATTAAATATTTCATTTTTATGTTTCAGTAACTGTAGTTTAGTTAATTTTATTTTTGTAAGTAACTGGTCTTTTATCTACAAATAACTAAAGTTATCTTCTCTGTGGTAAATTCTTTTTTATAAAGTGATGCTATGTTGATAAATCAAACCATCATTCTTATCCTATAAATGAACGTATGAGGGATATTTTCCAGGTTTCAAAACTCATATTAGTGAAGCAAGGCATGCAAAGTCTTTGTTTAGTATTATTTGGGGTAAAAATTAAGCTAATTTTATGAAATGCCTATACTAGATAAAAACTAATAGTTGCCCTCAAAGGGATGGAAGGTATGTTGTGATGAAGTAACCTTTGGAAACCTAGAAAATGGTTCGCCCTATTCTGAGCCCAATTATAAGCCAAACCAGACCCTGCTGTGCCCCCAAGAAGGGTGACAGGATCCAATCTCTCCCCTTCCTTACCTGGGGAGCCTCTTAGCCCCTCCATTACGCCCTTCCTTCCTTCCTTCCTTCCTTCCTTCCTCTCACAGCCCCAAGAGGCTCCAAACCCCCTTTGCTTCTCTCCTTTTCTAGAAGGCTGCTGCTCCAGAGGCTGTAGCAACCGTGGGAGGGTCAGTAGCTCTTGGGGAAGGCTTCATCTTCCATGTTCCAAAGAAATGAACCGATGCTGCCAATTCTCGTAGTAGACCAGTATAAAATAAGCAGCACATAAGTGGCACACAAAACACTACCAAACCATTCTGCCTTCTAACTCTTATATTAAAAATCCAAAAATTGAGAGAGCTACGTACAAGATCTACTACAGAAGCCACAAACAGAAAACTCATTCAAATTGTGTCCAAAAGGAAGATTCAGTCTTTAGAGTTCCTTTACTGAAGAAGCCCAAGACTCTTCATTTGCGAAAGAGGTGACAAATGCTGGCACCCTGTCTAACTCTTGTGTGTAACATCACCGACACTTCGTTTGATCAAACTTACCTTTGTTGATATCGACAGGAGCCTGGCTAAAGGAACTGTTTCTTTGAATAAAGAGTTAATTTCACTGACACCTTGTGAGTTACTGCTGACTTGCTCCCACTCCTGACAGTAGACTAAGGAAAAAAAGACTTGTTTTGAGCTCTGAAATGTGCTGCGTGGCATTGTCTGTTTCTCTCTGGAGATCTAATGTTGGAGCAGCATGATTTGGCTGTCCACTTGGAGTGCTTAAGCTGTGCCACCACCTATGCTCAACTTGTACATTTGTAAAGAAACAGCATAAACCTCCAGGGACCTCCTACCAAAGAAAACCAAACCTGAGTAAGTGAACTTCTCACCGCCCAAGGATGTGGGAAGCGCACAAGAACGGGGGGAATTAACTGCAGCACTAAGGGAGGTATGTGTACAGCAAACGAGTTTCGCTTGCACAACAGGACTTGTCCCCCTCTCCTCCCCTGTATATCCTCTGTGCATGCCCTAAACCTGTTCTGAGAGTTCCCCCAGCCCTCCAGAGCAGATTTAGAGGGCGGAGGAGGAGGAGGAGAAGTATTAGCTGTCCAGTGCTGCACAGTATGTTTTACTGTCATATTTTAAAACCATTCTTCATTTGCTTCTGTTCATTACAAGGCACTACATGACACCGCTCCTTGTTATCATTCATTATATTTTAAGAAGCAATGAAGATTTTCAAATTAACAAACCAGATACTTCAGTGGTGAGGACCAACCATAAGACAAAATGGCAACCGTTTCCCTTCTCTTTCTTTCACCCATTCACTTTCTCCCTAAACACATCTCTCTGTCCATACAGCTGAACTGACCATTCAAGGGTTGGGCTAAGCATCGCAGATCAGTTGGTGTGACATCCAGCATCTCACAGACAGCACCACAGATGGTAACGGAAGTATTTCCTGGAGAGAATCCAGTCCCATGTATGTGTATTTCTCCACCACCTAGGCAACCTTGAAGGAAAAAACAGAAAAATTGCATTGAGATAAACAATTGCCAGCTGCTGAGATCTTCTTGTTAACAACAGTCAATCCAGAAATATGAAATACCCAGCCACTGGAGATAGTCTATAAAGATACAGGCAGCTCTTGTGCCTTACATATACAGTGGTGCCTAGCAAGACGAAAAGAATCCGTTCCGCGAGTCTCTTCGTCTTGCGGTTTTTTCATCTTGCGAAGCAAGCCCATTAGCGGCTTAGCGGATTAGCGCTATTAGCGGCTTAGCGGGCTTAGCGGATCAGCTGATAAGAGGCTTAGCGGCTTAGCGGATCAGCTGTTAAGCGGCTTAGCGGATCAGGTGATAAGCGGCTTAGCGGATCAGGTGATAAGCGGCTTAGCGGCTTAGCGGATCAGCTGATAAGCGGCTTAGCGGCTTGGGGGAAAGGGGGGGGACCCTGCAGGAACTCGCAAGACATTTTCATCTTGCGAAGCAAGCCCATATGAAATTCGTTTTGCGAAGCACCTCCAAAATGGAAAACCCTTTCGTCTAGCGGGTTTTCCGTCTTGCGAGGCATTCGTCTTGCGGGGCACCACTGTATCCACAAGGAAAGGCCACAACTATACAGAGGCGGTTACACACAAAAAGAGTATACAACAGATAAGCTCTTGAACAGGTTACAGAAAGCTTCACCATAGCCTCAGAATACAAGGCAGTGACTAAATACCCCATTAGTATCCAAAGAGGTTTTTTAGTTCAGCGCCTGCAGAGTTATGTGTTTCTACAATATATCGCTATTAATGAGCTATACTAAAGTCCTGTGATACCCTTCATTTAACAGTTAATACATTGTTTCACTGGCCATTTGCTATTACCATAGCATGCCTCTGAATGTGCCCAGAGTAAAGCAAGACACAGAGAGAGAGAAAGAGAGAGAGGTGGTGAAGATCAGGTACTGGGATTTGGGCATTTCTTCCAAAGTCAGTAATGGATTTCCGAAACTTAAGAATTTGCAAGAGTCTCTGCTGCAGGAAGCAAACTGCTCAAGATTTGCTTTAGAGTATTTCCTGAGACAATAGAAAAGCAGGAAAGACTGTTCATTTACTGCAAGTCAGAAGGCTTTCAGCAGAAAGAGTATTAAACCTGAGAGCATTGGGATGTATGCTTTAAGCAAGGAGCACACGTTTCTTGTAAGACAAGCTCCACACTTTCTCTCTACCAGGAAAAAGATTTTTTAAAGCAGAGGTAACAAGTAGTCTCACAATTACAGCAGGAACCCATTGACTGCAGCCCATGAGTTCTCATATCTATGTTGTTATAATATATTGCCATTGTCCTGTGTCTGCATTCCACGCCGCTCCAACAAGGTCAAAATAAAATTAACTTGAAAGCCTGCTTACCAAAGCCGTTGTTCACAGACATAACCATCAGGACAGAAGGGAACACCAAATGGGAGGAAGCCAAGCCTTGGCGGGCATCTCCACCTGTGATGTTATATTCCCCAGCGGAAAGCTGAGGGAGTGTGCAGCTCAAAGTTGTGTTGTTGCCAACAACATTGGCACAGGGAGAGCCTCCAATGAAAACATACATGTCTTCTGTCCGCCGGATGCATGACACCCTGATTGTCAGATGCTGATTCACAGAAGGTAGAAGGGAAAGAAAGACAGGTGTGGAATCTTCGCTGTAGTTTATTTCCCCAATATGGTACGAGGCGCCATCTATGTTCAGCTGCACTGTGGCAACCCCAGCGCCTGGAGGGGTGAGGCACTGAAGAGCCCAGTATGTGACACTGGTAAGGGGACAGTGGAGCTCTCCTATGAGAATGGAGGTCTCGTTCCTGCCTCGTAATGCTAGGCCGTCGAGTGTGAGAAGGCCTCTGCCGTTGACGCTGAAATTCTGGGGGTAAAATTGGAGGACGTGGGGAACAACTCTGAAAATGCTGGCGCCTTTCTGCCTCAGGCACGCTTGACCCCAGCTTCTGCTCAGCACAGCAATGCTGTGTTCTCCAGCGTCAAGGCTGCCTGTCTGGCACTTGATCCAGGTTTCATTCAAAGCTGTGACATTGCAAGGGAGATGACCATCCACCTCTATCAAGGTTTCATCCCCTGCTCTATCTAACCGCTGGCCTCTGATCAACAAGTAAGCGAGCCTTCCGTTCCACGTCATGGTCACGGCATCAATAACAAGGGTCAGGTTTTCCAGAAGATGAAGTGAGCAGCCCCCCAGGCAGTGGCTAGTGATCCCATTCACAGTCACTGTGACGCTAAGGACTTGAGATGCCCCACGCAGCCGCCAGTCATTCAGAACAGGGTCACCTGGGGAAAGGGCGCATTTTATGAGGCTGTCGTTTGAACTCTGGATCTCACAGGTGAAGTTGCCTGTTAGATTCACCCAAGCTGAATTTGTCCGTGATTTTAAAGAAACGCCAGATATGGTGAGCAACTGCCCCCCACATATGGAGCCACGAGATGGGGAAAATCATCTTTATCAGGGGGCGAACTGTTATATGCTGCATCTCTGCTGGTATGTTGGCATAGCCCGCCTGCTTCTGGAGAATTCTTAAAGGATACTGTCCGGGTTCTAGTGCGCTTAGGGGTACAGAGCACTGAAAGCCGACTGCAGAGTGGTTGGCGTTCACCACCTCAAGCTGGCATTCCTCATCTCCCAGCATAGCCACTGAAATAGTCACATTGGTCCCTTTTATGCTAAGCCGTACACTATCATTCAGCATTTCTACTCTCATATCTGTAATATCTGGAGTCAAAGACATTTTGTAAAGAAAGTTAATGTTCTCCTTTGAGAAACTCAAGGCAGGTGTGTCCACAGATGTCCTGTTGCCTATGAGCACCTCCACTTGCGCTGGAAAGTCTTCTAAGGTGGCATTGGCCAGCTGAGTGACAGGTGGAGTCTGACACAAAATCCTCCCATCGTTCACGCTGGTAACGCGACAAAGCTGTGAGTCTACCAAGACTGAGACCAAGTCTGGGCTGTTGCCAAAGCCTGTTCCAGAGATTGTGAGCAATGTCCCACCTAGGAAACAGATAATAAAATCTCAGTGCACTAAAACCCAACTTACAAAGTCTAATATTACATTTAGGCTTAGGCAGTGTAGAACTATGCAAATGAGAATTGAGTTAGTTCCCAAACAGCTACCATTGCATTTTATGGGACACACTAAATGGGCTGCAATTTGGGATACAGTTGGGGGGCGGGGAATCTGTCCCCTGCCATGCACACAAGGTTCAACAACAGCACTGTATAACTTTAGCTCCTACTCCAACAATTTATCTGTGATCCTTGACAGTCTTACTGCATAAACATGTATGATGCATTGATAGCGTTTACCCAGCAAGGAACCACAACATGGCTCCATTTTGAAGATCTCTGTGACATACTGGATTAATGGCTCCACTCTAGAAAAAAAAGAGAGACCCATATACAATTCAGTTGTATATTTTTTCTTATATGCAAAGAGTCTTCTTTCCATGCTTGATAAGATTGAATTTCATTTTCCTCCATGTCGGACTAATGCACATGGCAGCTGTGATTTACATGATCTTTGTAGGCCTTTTGCCATCTTTTTTTGACAAGTCACAAACTGCTCCATGTGATCCCTGCTGGGCTGAAGACCCAACAGCCCTGTACATTCTGGCAGCAAACTACATGGAGGCCACTAAGGGCTCACCCAAACTTCCACTTGCCTCGTGCTTCCCCCTAGGAAAACATGGTGTTTTCTGCTGGATGGAAACAAATGGCAATCTGTAGAAAACCCAACTGACGTTTGTTCTGATTCCACAGCTTTTCCATAGAAAGTGGTGGGACAATGAAAAACTGCTCAGACCCTTACCTAGAAAGCACAAGTCAAGCAGAAAACCTCCCAGCCCCATACTTTCTAGGCACAAGACTAGCAAGTGTGGACAAGCCCTGGCTGTCTAGAGGTTATAAATTTTTACTTTGAGCTCATCTTTTTACTGTTTGAAAAACTAAAAATTATTTAGACAGGTTCTTCTCAGTCTAAAGAAATGAAATAACTTACCACAGCCCATACATATATGTTTGTGTGTATGTGTACACACACACAGAGAGAGAGACACAAACACACCCCTGCAACCATGATAGTTCGATCAGCAAGAAAACACGAAAACATTTTTAAATAATACCCAAACAACATAGATCTCTCTTGTCAACAAATATTCATTGCTAGGGATTATACTACAGTCTCATTTTTTTTATCATTCCCTTAAAAGAATTCACAGTAAATTAGGTTATATTTGCTTACCCGCTAGTGCCTAGTGAGACGTTATTGAAAACGACAGAAAAGCTGTATAATCCATTTGTCAGAGAAGGCAGTACCACACTGATTCCGTGATCTGATAGCGCTTGGATTTGTCCCACAGACTCCTGAATTCTGAACTGCACGTCCAGACAGGTATAATTGGTGAGGGATGATATTCCTATGTGGAGCACCTGACCCCCTGCAGAGAATGAAAGACAACTTGCAGACGCTGCTATTAATACAGTGAAAAGCATGAGCTACTCCCATAACAAATGCCGATGTAATAATCTTAAGCAGAGTTCACCGAGTGGGCGGCTCGATTTGGGGGGAGGCTCGTGGTCCAGTTAAACGACCCCCATGGGCCTTAGGTTGCCGACCTCTGCCCTAGTCAGTCACCACCAGTTCAGACCTCATTAACATATATGTAAAATCAGTATTCAGATGTAAGCTGCCATTGATATGGAGGTGCTACTTAGTTAATAGTCATCAATAGATCTAATCTCCTTGCTTTGCTGGCTCTTATCAATCATTTCACTCCATTGCTACTCAAGGACTATTCTGCACTCACAGACTATTGAGAGGGCATGTGGGATTTTCTTCCGAAGGTGAACTACATGAGCCATGCGTGTGTCCTCAGGCTTCAGCAACATGACAGGATATTGAATAAGGAGCAGAGCAGTGGCATCCACAATCTCCTTACCTATATTTTAAATAATAAGATGAACAAGCTAATATGTCAGCTTTGAGTATGAATGCGTTTATACCAGCCCATGACAGTAAGGCCTCATCCACACTTCTGCTTGTCCGCTGCTTTCCCCTCTCCGTTTACTGCTAAATTAGAGCAAACAGTAAGTGGGTTCGTTATGGATTGATGTTTGTTCCGATTTAGCACTAAAGAGCATGTTTCCTGGGCTAAAGCAATGGGGCAGAGGCAGAAACACTGGGACCCATGCCTAGAAAGCGTAGGGGAAGAGGAAAATTGCTTGGACCCATGCTTTCTAGGCACAGGACGAGTAGAAGACCAAAGAAAGTACAAGTGTGGTCTCCAGGCCCACTTCAGAAAATGTAATTCATTCTATTATTATTTCCACAAGAAGCTGCTTGGGGCAGGCGCCTGTTTTCCCACTGACATACATAAGCAACAGGAACAGTTTGTTTATATGAATCACCAATGCATCTGAGCTGCTGTGTCCTCTTACTGCACTGCTAAGAACCACTTCTAAAACATGTCATGTGCAGCCAGTGTCATTTTAAAATACCTAAACATTGGGGAAATGGGAGAAGAGGAAGAGGAGGAAGAGGAAGAGGAAGAAGAAGAAGAAGAAGAAGAAGAAGAAGAAGAAGAAGAAGAGGAGGAGGAGGAGGAGGAGGAAGAAGAAGAAGAAGAAAACAACAACAACAGCGTACAGGGATTTTTGCCCCTTTTACCTGCTGTGCTGCTTCTGTTTCTGCTCAGTGACAAAATGAGTGGATTTAGTGATGGATCATATGTGAATGCATTGGCAAAGACCACAGGCCCGTGTTCATTAACCAGCGTGAGATGGGCAGTATAGTCTCTTCCACTCTAGAAGGAAAGAACAGAAAATGAGTAACCGTAGAGACTGTGCACTAGTAAGCCATTTCCTCCAGGGAAAATGAAAGGTAGTAGGTTTGAGGTAATATGCAGGTGTCGATTAGTGCTTTTACACTATATGACAGCCACTCATCCCTCCTGTAATAAGGATCCTGTTGCTCCTAAACCATTGTACAGGGGCATTCAACTGGGTAACTGCATGAATGCTTGCACAATGGGACGTTCACCTCTCTCCTGGCCTCGTGCACAACCTGCGCTATCCCCAGATGGCGGGTTGGGGGCAAATGTCAGATTTAGGGCACCAGGGGGGCGTCATTGTGGAAGCAGAAGTCATTCAGCTCACAAAATTATTTAGTTGAATACTTTGCAAAGGGACCTACTTCTGAGCAGAAATGTATATCATTGTACAATAAGTTAAATAGGCAATGACTTACTAATAAGCCTCTGATCTTTAGCTCCTGCACAGCATTTGCCATGAGGTGGGGGATTCCTTAACATCCACCTGTACTTCTTGTGCAGTAGTATTTGCTGAAAATAACTTATAGAGAATAACTGAACTCAGATGAACCCACCACAGGAATAATGCATGCAATGCATGTTGTACAAGGGAAAGTTGGAGGGGAGGGCTTAGATGAATTTTTAGAAGACATCTAAAGGCAGCCCTGTTTAGGGAAGCTTTTGATGTTTAATAGGTTATTGTATTTTAGTGTTTTGTTGGAAGCCACCCAGAGTGGCTGGGGAAAGCCAGCCAGATGAGAGGGTATAAATAATAAATATATTATTATTATTATTATTATTATTATTATTATTATTATTATTATTATTATTATTATTATCATGCCTTCTCTTGCAACAAAAATGAAGGTATTACTTACCCGAGGAGGAAGCCTGCATTCAATTTTCATTGAATTGCTGGTATTGGCATTAATTGGACAGGGTTGGGAACCAAATTGCACCAAGATTATCCCATCAAAGCCTGAACCCGTGATGATTACTGGAATCCCTCCTATAAAAATCAGGATTTCATTACAGCAAACATGCAGGAATGTCATTTGAAAAACCATTCATACGTGTGCCACTGCTATAATAGTGCATGTTTTAAAAGATTAGGAGGGTCTGAAAATTTGGATTCTTTTCTTTCCCTCTGCCTTTGTCTTCCATATGCCCATGGTCCTAAACCTCAGGTAGTTTCAAGACAGCCTCCTAATTTGTTTGCACAATGTTTGTGGGGAGGTTAGACAATGTCAGCTTTTTATTGTGCTTTCGTTCTGATTTGTTTGTAGAGAGGTTAGACAACACTGACTGCATCAAACAAATGCAGTTATTCCACATTTTCCAGTGCCATTTTGTGTCGCTGTCCTCATCACAAAAAGTGCAATTTGGGGGGGTGGAGAGTAGGTTTGTTGTGCAAGAGCTCCAAATCAACTTTTAATTGTATAGACTGAGTATGCTGGTTGGTGACTGAATCCCATCAAAATTAGCATCAGTCTGGAACTGCCCTCAGTTTGCCATCTCCTAGCAGGGATATTAAGAAAGGCTTTTAAAGGAAACTTGAAAGCAAAATAAATAAATAACCTTAAATGGACCTAGGTTATTCCAAAGGTTTTAAAGCATCTGTTCAATCTCTCTTAGCTAGAGTATCATCAACTCTTTGAGACATTCAGACAGGACCAAAAAAAATATAGATTTGCCAAGGAGCCCTCTAAATTTGAAATAGAGCTGTTAAATAATGACACCAAGATTATCTCTAGGATGTACCGACTGCACCTTGACTAGGAAGTCAAGGAGGAGGAGGTGAAGGCGGTAATGATCAAGTGTGTGCAGGATATCAGACGTCCTATTATGATGAGAGGATGGGAAACACTCTGGAAAACTAACATGAACTTTACTGCATGTTACACCATTAAAGAAAATATGATGAAAATGCAGTTTCGGTGGTACCTTACACCATCAAAACTCTCCAAGATGTATAAAAATAGTTTGAATAAGTGTTGGAAGTGTGGAGAAAAAGTAGGAGATTTTTACCATTATGTGGTGGACATGCAGAAAGGTCAAGGACTTCTGGAATATTGTTTATGATGAGATAAAAAGAAGTTTAAATTAACATTCCTAAAGAAACCAGAAGCTTTTCCATTGGGAATTTTAGGCAGAGATATCCCGAAAAATGTAAGAGAAACTTTTTTATATGCAATAGCAGCCGCCCGTCTATTAATAGCATCTAATTGGAAGGGGGGAAGATACCAACGCTAACAGAATGGCAAAATAAATTATTAGACTATGTGGAAATGGCTCAATTAACAAATAGGTTAAGAGGTGACACAAAACAATCATTTTCTCAAAAATGGGAAATGTTTAAGAGACACTTACAAAAAAATAACAGCGACATATTATCTATAGCAGTGTTTGAATGACCCTTGTGTACGTAAAATATTAAGAAATAAATAAAAATCGGTACAATATGTTGTAAGAAAGTATTGTAAAGTATATTAAATGTAAGGTAATCATTATAAGTACATACAAAATCATAAAGGTCAACAATATCAGGAAATGATGGGATGTCTTCATTTATTTTATTTTACTTTATTTTGTTACATGTTACTTTATTTTACTTTATTATGTGATCTTAGCTTAGTTGAAATCTAAGCGGAACTAGAAATTTAAATTAACAGCTTATGGTAAATTAATTTAAGAATTTTTTTTCTTTGTATGTATGTGTGAAGTTAAATCTGTAATATTAATGAATTTCAATAAAGAATTATTATTTTTTCACACAAAAAATAACATCACTAGATCTCTGTCTGCTTCTTTGTTTCCAGCCTTTAGAGCTGGAAGAAGAGCACTTGAAGTAAACATCTGTAAAACCAGCTCTATGATATGCTTACAGAAAGTACGAGCGAATCACACATACCAATCTCTGAAGCGGTAGAAGGTTCAACAGAAGTCAATCTAGGTGTAATCCTCAGGAAGATGTCACCTTTTCTACTGGCATTGACTGCAAATCCATGGGGTCTCACCAGTACTGTCAGCTTATACAAGCCAACCGGCAACAAGTTCATCTGGCAAACAGCATTAGTGTGATTTGAACTCAGGACTTCACAGCGTGTGTGGTTCACTTCAATGATCAGAGAACTACTACTTGAACTCAGGCCAGAACCTGTGATATTAATGACTATATGAACTCCATCATCTGAAAGAATAAGTTCAGAGTTATACTACAAAACAAAGTATCAATAACATATCATTTTTATTATTAAAATAAATCTCATGATTTTACCATTTCTTTCTTACAAAAAAAAGAGAGAGAGAGAAATGGGATCGTCCTCAGAAGGCGGTCCTTCTTGCGACTGGGCCCCTGGACACACCCCGACTAAGTATGTTTCATTTCTAGGTCTAAGTTTCATTTCTCTAAATAGGCATCACAGGTCACAGCCAATCAGGAAAGGGGTGGTGGTAGTTAAGGAATTACCGTATTTTTCGCTCTATAACACACACCAGACCATAACACGCACATAGTTTTTTAGAGGAGGAAAACAAGAAAAAAAATATTCCAAATGAAACAGTGGATGTATGATTTTTGTGGTTCATGCTGTGGCCACAGACATGTGATCTGACAGTGAGTTTGGAGTAGCCCAATGCAAAAATCCTGAGAATCCATGTGGATCCATGCTTTGTAACCACGTTTTTGCACCACTGCGACCCTAGGCAACAGTGGGTGCGTGATTTTTTTGGTGCAGGCTGTAGCCATGGACATGCTATGTTATCTGATGGTGAATTTGGGGTGACCCAGTGCAAAGATCCTGTGGGTCCATGCTTTGTAACCACGTTTTTGCACCATTGCAGCCCCAGGCTACAGTGGGTGCGTGATTTTTTTGGTACAGACTGTAGCCATGGACATGTAATGTGATCTGATGGTGAATTTGGGGTGACCCAATGCAAAAATCCTGAGGATCCATGTGGATCCGTGCTTTGTCACCACGTTTTAAATGGGGAGGGAAGGAAAGCAAAAGTCCCCCCCCCAAGCCAGACAGGATATACGAAGTATGATTTCTTTTTTATTTACAGTACTGTATTTCTTTTTTGGCCACCTCTGTCACTGCAACCTTTGCTCTGTGCTTGCACACTTTTGGGCAATAGGGCATGTAACACACTTTTTTTCATCTGCCAAGATGTAGAAAATCAATTTTAATGTCCCTATATAAAATGCCTAGTGAAGCAGAAGGGTATTACATCAGCCACTGTATTAAGGCTAAACGTTTGAAGAACAGCTCTCTATGGAGGGGGAGACTAAATTCCATTTTCAATCAATTGTTATTGTGGCAGCAATTATCAGTGTATAGCACACAATGAGGAAATGAACTTTAAAATATATATATAAAAAACATTCTCACGTTATACTTCTTCAAAGAAGAGTATTAGCCTTTTAATGAAGGGGAGAGGAGAGATGCTGTAATCCTCCTGGCTCAGGAGATTCTGATTTACCCAGCCGCATGTAGAAAGTATAGATTAAGATATTTGATATACAGCATATAAATCCAGAGATTTCCATGTCTCACTCTGCAATCCAGCCTGCTGTTACTTACGAGCAGGGAAGCAGGGTTTCTCTTCCAAACAAGTATACTGTCTCCCTCCAGCAGTACATTGCTTGGAGAAGCTGCAATTTGGAGGGGGCCTGGGGGCAGGGCTCTCTGCTTTTGGAAAAGAAATGAGAAACCTACCATTGTAAAGCAAAAGTCGTTCCCCCCCACCACCACCCAAGCCAGCCCTCTCTCTCTCTCTCTCTCCCACTCCCACTTGCGTGTTTTTCGGCTGCCTGCGAGTCCCTAGAGCACGGAGAGGAGGAGGTGGTGGGCTGGAGCCTGCACGCAGTGTGACTAGGAAAGAATTAGAAGGACTCGATCATTTCCTTAACCCTCTGCTTGCCAGGAGGGCAGGGGATTCCCTGCTCTTTGTTGAGTTTGAGCAAACGCAGCAACAGAAGCGGGTGGGCAGTAAGACCCTGAGGCAGAATGCAGGAAAGCTTCTGTCTTCCCTCTTCCCTCCGCCCGCCCGCCGGATCTTATTTTTGCCTGATTTTTGCCTATTTTGCCCCTGCGCTCCGGCGAGTCAGCTCCAGGGACCACACATTCGCTCAATAACACGCACAGACATTTCACCTTACTTTTTAGGAGAAAAAATCTGCGTGTTATAGAGCGAAATTTACGGTATATAAGCATTAGCGCAAGAGTGCCCTAGGCACTTGATTGGCGCTGCTGAACACCCGCCCTCCCGCCCTTAGTGTAGGTTCTCTGCCTTGCTTTGGACTTTGTGTGAGTCGCCTGTCTTGGGACAGCAGCCGGGTACGAATTTTTATTCATTTGGCAAATTGGCACTGGTTAGGTTTTTTGCCTACCCTCTTAGCAATCTTCACAACTTTCCAGGTTTAGCGGTTAGGCATTGGCTTAATTTTGTGTGTGGAGGGGAGGTGTGGCCATCACCTGCCCCTCAATGGTCAAAAGGTATTCTGTTAAAGGAATCTAGGGGTCCCAGATCTCGTCCGAAGTCCGCTTGTAGGGCTAGGGCCATGCCGGGATCACAGGAACCTCATGGTAAGCTTCTGTCGAGCAAAACCCTGGTGTTGCTGCCCTGATGGGTTTACCTACATAGACTCTGTCAACTAGGGCAGTAGTCCGTTATAGCCTTCAGCCAATGCCTATGCCAATAGCATTCACATTTAATTTGCAATCAATAAAGTTGTGGCCTTGATGTTACCCATCAACCTTAATTCTGTGTCCGTGTGTAGTTATTTCATGGGGGGCTGGCTTGGGGCCTCAAGACGCAAAAAAAAACCCAGATAAAGTTAGGAGGTGGTCATGCAGAACCACTCCCAGTGATAGGACCAGAACCACGGCAGAATGGTGAACCTGATGCAAATCTCCTGGAGATGATCCAGGAAGATACTGTGCTAAGAGATTAAGCAGAAGTTGCAGGGGTATGCCCGGCTATCCATCTCTTGGGTAAAGGCTATCCCACCAGGGCAACAAAAGCAAGTTTGGTCACAAACTCTGGCCTGAATCCAGATTGGAATGGTTGTAGATACAGTGGTACCTCGCAAGACGAATGCCTCGCAAGACAGAAAACTCGCAAGACGAAAGGGTTTTTTGTTTTTTGAGCTGCTTCGCAAGATGATTTTCCCGATGGGCTTGCTTCGCAAGACGGAAACGTCTTGCAAGTTTGTTTCCTTTTTCTTAACACCGTTAATACAGTTGCGACTTGACTTCGAGGAGCGGTGTGGTAGCCTTTTTTGAGGTTTTTGAAGACTTTGGTGATTTTTGAAGCTTTTCCAAAACTTTTCCAACACCGTGCTTCGCAAGACGAAAAAAATCGCAAGACGACAAAACTCGCGGAATTAATTAATTTCGTCTTGCGATGCACCACTGTAAATGCTTTCCTTCAAGAAATGACTGCAGCTGCTCAAAGGGGGGGCAGTTGCAGCTCAGGGTGTGCTTATTTCTTTTTGGGAAGAGACTACTCTACTGCCTCCTTCAAAGTGGCAGCCCCCACCCCTTCATGCAAAGATATGTTCATCACCAAAGCTTGGAGCCATTTAGCTGTGCCCCCCCCCCCACCTCAGCTAGCTTTAATGAGTGATGAAGGCTGATTCTACAATCAAAAGAACCATGACGTCAAATATATTAAAAGAAATACTATAAGAAAGATTATTAGGGGGGAACTTATAGCATTACCTATAAAGTATTCAACATTACTGACCAAAGGGGTCAATTCCCAGAGATATTGAAATGTACATGAACCGGAACAGTTTGCTGGAATATCATTCACTGTAACCACAACCTAGAAAGTCAAAGGAAATTATTAGACAATTCTTTGTCATTTGTTTGATGAAAGAATTCGTTTTTTTAATGGAAGCTTCTAAGTGCATTCTACTGAATGTGCATAGATAACTCCTCCTGATAAGAAACACAGATGGTTAGAAGCCCCCTTCAGATCTTCCCACTTAAAGCAAGAAGTTAGGTGTGGCCTAGGGGAACCCAGGACAATCAGGGCCATGAATGGCAAGGGCAGCAGAAGGGCACACACCCCACCACCTCCCCAGTTGGAGATCTCACGTGTTTTTTGGATGCCTGAAGGACGCTCTAGTGTCTACCAATTTTCACAAAATGAGAATATCCACAGCAAGGTAATTCATGGTCAGTTCTGCGATACGTTAAAACACTCAACGTTCATGAGATACGGTGTCTGTCCACTTCATACCTGTGTAAAGTTATTTGGGGTAGCAAGCATGTCTCCAAATATTGGACCAATAAAAACACCACCATCAAATACTACACGGTGTGTAATAGCTGGGCGCAAACCAGTGAGGTTTTCAGCAGACACCTTGAAGGGGAAAACGAAAAACGTCTTAGTTATCCAAACATGGGAATAGTTTGCTAGACTAAACTGGTTATAACTAGAATTCTGATAATGGACACATATGGCCCCATGCAAAACAAATTCCTGGTTTTAACCTCCCTCCCTCTCAGTCAGTCGCCCATATTTTCTGGCTTCATGGAGCTGGTCCAAGTTCAGCTGCCTCTTCTGCCACCCCCTCTTCTTGACTGGCGGATCACCTTCGCCCTTCCCTCAGGGAAAAGAAAAGGAAGGCTTTTTGTAAATTAGCACTGTTTAAAATGTGGGGGTCTGGGGAGGAGTCATGATTCTGGGTTATTTAAAGTGCAGCCAAACCAACAATTCCTGTTTTGCTAGCTAGGCACATGAGAGGAGCTGAAGCTCACAGTTTTCCTGTAAACTTGCTAGAGAAAACTCTGTGAGAGACACTCCCACTGTGCCCTTATGCACCCTCTGACTCTGTTTCCATCTCCTGCCACCGTGCCATCAATGCAAGAACATCTACAAAGTCTGAGCTTGGAGCTCAGACTACATTTTAAGCTAGACTTAAGTATGTCTTTGTAACTGAATTACCATTGTAAGCCTGCCTGAAGAAAGCTGCTGTATCTGTTCCTCTTCTGAGTGTGCAAATGTTGTTTCTATCTTTTACAAGACTGTTTGTGCGATTGTTATTTTAAGGGGCAGAAAAGAGGGAAATACCAGGAAAATCCAGTCTGCCTTAAAGCATCCTGGATTACTTAAACTAAACGGTTAAAACTACCTATCTAAGCTTCCTTTTAAGCTGCAAAGGGATGGCACTCTGCTGAACTCACACACACAAGGAAGAAAGGATAATATCTAATAAATATATACTCTCCTAGTATCTATTCACATCCCAACAATGATGACTCGCAATCTCATGAAACTTGGGAAAAGCTACATTTTGTGCTTTAATTATATTTTACAATACTTTTTAAATGTTGTGAGCTGCTTTGGGACACAATTTCTAGATGAAAAGCAGGGTGAAATTAAATACCGACGGAAAGAAAGCACAGGTGGGAAGGATGAGGCTTCCTCAAAGCCAGTTCAAGTCCAGCCATAGTACAGCCATGCCTCCATGTACGAAGGTCTCTCCGATTTGGAAGCTTTTAATAAGTGGGCAGGTGCACTACCACCAGCCCTGTGCATTCTGAGGCATCAAGGTCACATGAAGAATAAAGGCTGTCTTAGAGGCTAGGAAAGGACTGCACCAAGTAATTGCTGGATTGTTTGTTTGAGTTCCCTCTCCTGCCAAGGGAGCAAAGCACTGTAGATACATTCTGGTTGTACAATACATTTACAAGCATAGAAAATAACAAGGCAAAAGGGGGTGAGATCGATGATAAATAAATTCTGGATTGAAGTAATAAAGGTCCAGGGCAAGAGCACATGTATAGGCAGAAACTGTGAATGAATTAATCTTGAATATAAAGAAATACTGAGCAGTCAATTGGATATATTTAAAAGATTGTCTTACACTGATGAAATTGGGTAAATCACCAATCATTGAGGTCCAGGTCAGTGTCCATATACTTTGATAACAATTGCTTGCGTCCTTAGATACCGAAAAGTCACTGGCATTCACATACTGAGCTGTGAAATTATCACTGTAGGCTTGCAAGAGCTTGCGGAGGTGATGGGCAGAGATGGATACTGGAATGCCTGGGGAAAGGATTATATAAAGTAACCTAAGTCAGTAACCAAGAAACCTTAGAAGAAGAATATGTGATTAAATAATGAAGTACAAGTTTCATGAAATGTGAACATATTGCATGAAACTGGTTGCTGTGTTTGGCATATTGACAGGGCTTTTTTGTTGTCTCAGCAGCAACACAGCTCTTTAGGGCTAATCTAGACACGTGATTTAGGTGTGGAATTCTCTCAGTCAGATAGAAAGTTGGGAGCTAGAGGGGGGGGGTGGCTAGAGAGAAGGTAGAGGTCTGGTTTTAAAGCAAAGGGGATGTGCAGTTGAGGAACACATTTCCCTGTCCCCCAAAGCTTATTTTCCCCTTAGTTCCCATGCTCCAAGGACTGTTCTCCTAATAGGAGCTCTGAAACCAGAAGTGATCCTGAGAGAAAATTACTTAAAGACAGAGGCTGGATGAAGGTAAGTCACAGTGCAGTGGGGAAAGGGTTCCTTTTTAAACCAAAATCTAATCCCTAACCGCCCTTTGTGACATGACTGGAATAGTTTCATATTTAAATGCATGGAAGAGACACCTTTGTTTAGCCCTGCATCTATCAAGTTTAAGTTTAGCTGATTTTTATGCCACTGTGCCCAACATGGCTCACAATAGGCATTAACCAAAATACCAAACATTTTTTAAAAAATAAACAGTTCAAACAAGACAATATAAGTGATTCAATAAGCATAGGACAAATGCAGTATTGTGGTGAAATACTCTAGAGTGAATAATAATGTGTAGAGAGCATAATCAGAAGTAACAGGTCAAGATATAAATCTAAAGCTAGCCATGACTTCTTCCTATAACTTCCAAAGATGGAGGCTGCATAGCCTCAGTTTACCTGGTATCACAATATTGGGCAGATGGATTTGAAAGGTTCCTCCAAGAGGTGGGCTTGCAGCCTGCACTCTTTGTACCGTCAGATTGATTTGGGCCTCACCCACGTTCCCTCCTGATCCTTCCCAAGGCACAGCTCCTCTGTGTGAGAATGAAACCATGTAAACAGATACAGCTTCAGGTACTTTCGAGAATGTACAACTTGTTGCTTAAATGGAACACACAAGATGAGACAGTTAAATCCGCCATGATAAAATGGGCACAGGATATTGGGCATAACATCATGTTTGAGGACTGGGAAAGGTTATGGACCACCGGAATGAAATTCACGGCATGTAATGCCTTGAAGGAAAACATTATGAAAATGATATACCGGTGGTACATGACCCCAGTCAAGCTTGCTAAGATATATCACCTGTCTGATAACAAATGTTGGAAATGTAAGGAGGCTGAAGGGACCTTTTTTCACCTCTGGTGGACATGCCCGAAAGTGAAGGCCTTCTGGGAAGTGATTTACAATGAGTTAAAAAAGGTATTTAGGTATACCTTTCCCAAGAAACCAGAGGCCTTCCTCCTGGGCATTGTCGACCAGAAAATGTTAAAGAAGGATAGAACTTTGTTTATGTATGCAACCACAGCAGCAAGAATTCTTATTGCAAAGTATTGGAAGACACAAGATTTACCCACACTGGAGGAGTGGCAGACGCAACTGATGGACTACATGGAACTGGCTGAAATGACTGGCAGAATCCGAGATTTGGGAGAAGAAACAATGGAAGAGGACTGGAAAAAAATTAAGGACTATCTGCAGAAACATTATAAATTGTATGAATGTTAAGAATGTGCATGATTTGGAAATTATAGCTTCAGCAAAATGATTTAGTGAATTGGAAATTAAGTCATAAGAAAGACAAGGTGGAGACTTGAAACAATTTTATTATGTTTATTTTAAGGTACAAGTAATGGAGAAATAGTACTTTGAATCTAGAAACATAATATCTGAAAGATACAGTAAGGCATGAAATAAGGTAACAAATTGCTGATGTTTTTATTGTAAAGAACGCTGGGTTTGGAAGATGTGGGGAAGTCCAGTTGGATTTGCAAAAATGATCTGAAAAGTTGAATTTTTTATTCTTTCTTTTTGCTTTTGCTTTTTTCTTTCTTTATGATTACACTATCGAATTTGTATGTGAAAATCCAATAAAAATTTATATATAAAAAAAAAATAAACAGATACAGCTTCAAACATTTCAGGAGTGTGCAGAACAATTCTGAAACCAATTCCTACCTCAACGAGAAAAGAGGGAGAGTCTTGCAATAGTCTGCCATTAAGAAGGACACGTTATACACGGGTGAAGCACCGACCACTGACACGGATTCCAGAAGATTCCCATGAGGACAAACTGGCTTTGCCTCTCTTTGAAAAACTGAAAAGGAAATCATTTTTGGATAATATCAGGGGGTGGAACCAAGAGTCTCACTTCCTGTGGCAGTCACAGGTTGTGGTTCATGAGCACGCTAGGAATAAGCATGGCAAACACACATTCGTACACTGGAACAAGCTATGACTTCATTTGGTTTATGCAGCAGTGGGGTAGGGAAAGGATCTCGTCTTCAGTTCCACTCAGTCCTTGCTGTTGCAATGCTATTCCTGCCATCAATTAGGAAACACCCAAAGCACCCATGGGAGTTTGCCAGTGTTGGACCCCAACGTGGTGTCAGCCAGGCATCCAGGTCCCTCTGGGCAACCAGGAGGAGCGGTTGATGCAAGGACAGATCCCTCCTCACTCCTCTTATTGGGGGGAGTCACCCCTTAAGTCGTGATCCTGCCCAATGTCATATCCACCCAAAATCATGAAGAATTAAAGAATGCCTAACAAAATAGGAATCAGCGAATCCTTTTGTGTCATCATAAACAGATACCAATTGAGGCATTTTGATGAGACTTTTTAGCCTGAAAGAGCTGAGCCTTCCACAAGGGCAGATGTGAATAGACTGGCATTATTTTCAGCTCTCCTAACCCACCATTAGGATATGTGTGAGCATCTTACGTTACAACATTATGAAATGCACTGATTTTGCCACACATACAGTGGTACAAACCATAGAGGCAATGGCAAAGAAAGGGCACTGCGTGAAAAGTACACACAAAAGAGACACACTGCAGATCTCTCTTAACGTCCATAATATATTAGGAATGAATATTTATGGACCTGACCAACACAAGCTACCAGTGAATGGAGAGCTCTTATATATTCAAATGTGTATTCTCCTCGACTTTTCATCCTGCCTGAATGCTCAGAAGGTTTTTGGAGCAGCCTCACAGATTCTATTGTTCTTACAGAGCCACTACAGCAGGCACAGGCAACCGCAGCCCTCCAGATGTTTTGGGACTACAACTCCCATCATCCCTAGCTAACAGGACCAGTGGTCAGGGGTGATGGGAGTTACAGTCCCAAAATATCTGGAGGGCCAAGTTTGCCTATGCCTGCACTAAAGTATTCTGCTGACATAAAGATATTTTGGATGTAAAAAGACAATGTTACCTTGCTCAAATCCTCCCCGCTGAATAATTTTGGCAGATGATGGCTGTGTTTCCCATTTTAAAGAAAAAAGATCCTCTAGCTCTCTCTGGAGCTGCAGATATTAAAAGAGGAAGGGAAGGGCAGAGGTGAATTTAGATAGGGGTAACAGAATGGGGGTAAGGGTTAAATCTAGGAGGAAATGCCTTTTAAGGTTGTTGTTTTTAAAAATATCCCTAAGCATCTTCACTTGAACATGTGAATACAGTTTCAGAGACCAATACATACAATGTCTTTTGCTCTACATTTATTGGGTTTTAAAAGGTGAGCATACCCATTATTTCAATAGAAAGTGTGACTTGTAGGGAAACTTGTAACATAGAAAATCATAACCTAAGAGGCATAACAAATACCATAGTTTTATTTTCACAATCCAAGAGAAATCTGTGTATTTTGCATTTATTTATTTTTTTATAATTTCTCATATAACAAGGACAAAAATGAAATATTTTTTTCTAGCAATTTAGAAGTTTCTGGTAATTTAGCTTTTGGAAAATATTCATGTATTGATTGTATAGCCATTTCTGAAACAAAATTTTAAATTGTGCTTTGCTCTTATCAACCATAAGAGCTTTTGCACTTGACAGGAATTGTACTGTTCTTCTATGTAACGTTTCATCAGAAAACCACAATTTTATTACAGCTTTTGAAAGATTTTTTTAAATAAAAGAAATTATTATTATTATTTATTGAATTTATATACCCAGAGAATAGAAAACCACAAAATACATAAGCAAAATAAAAACAACCCAAAAACTCCCCACCCCAAAAAAACACATTTTACAAGGGCATACTGAAGGAATGACCGCCAGGTGTGGAGCACACTTCCACCCGCAGACAAGCCACAGCTGTCTGAACATCATGCCCTCTATCTAACCTGTGGTCTGCCATGCCCAGTCTGTGACCTTTGTCTCCTTCTTCATACATTGCGCAAGGGGAAAGTGATGCAGTGGAAATAGGTGCCAAAATAACTTTGTACCACCCTATGATCGCGTGATTGGAAGATGTAAAGGGCACAGTCCAAAATGTATCTGACTGGTTTTGCATATTATGCTAATAAAAAGAGCCTTGGCAGAGCTAGCTGGCAGCTTGCTTGTGCACAGCTCACCTGCATTACCAACTCCTGCCTCATGCCTTCCCTTCACATACAATCCTCACAACATTTAAAGTAAGAAAACTAACAAATCTGGACAAGAGCCACTCACTGGAAAGACCATGATCTTAGAAATGTTTGCAAGAAGACCAGAAGATGCCATAAAGCAAATCAGACCATTGGTCCATCTACCCCCCTTATCATCTACTCTGACTGGTTGTGGCTCTCTAGGGTTTCAGACATAGGACAGTCCCGGCCTTACCTGGAGAGGTCAGGGATTGAAGCTGAAGTCTTTTGCATGCAAAACATGCGTCCTACCACTGAGCCATGAACTTCCCCAATATTCCGTGTTGAAAATCACATTTCATATCACAATATTTTCCTGACCCTTAATTTATTGGTCCTGTGTTTATTATTTTCAGAAGAGCCAGAAAATCCCATGTTTAATCTCCAGCATCTCCAGGTAGGATTGCGAAGAAAACCCGAAAACCTGAAAACCCGAGAGATCCACTGTCGTTGAAGGTGAAGAATACAGAACTAGATTGGCCCATACATAGGTAGATTTTGAGAATTTCTCCATGCTGATAAATGACTCTCAGAAAGTATCTTGTAATACCCTCCCAATGATCCTATAACCAAAAGTATTTATTGGCCTGCAGTGGTAATTCAACTTACTTGTTCAGCTGTAATATTTGTTGACATAAGGTTGGTGGTGACATTGTCCCAGGCAAGTCTGAACCATCCTGTACCAGATATTATCAGCATCTATAAAGCAGAAAGACCCTTGCAAAGTATGAATATTTATTTCCCAGTGGTACTAATATGGAAACTTGAAACAATTATTTCATAGCATTTTAGAGTTGAAGGGACCACGAGGACAACCTTTCACGGTTGTCACTTAGAGTTCCCAACCTTAACTACAAGATCAGTGTGATTTCTGTCATTGAAAATTTACTCCCTAAAATCTGTAGACCCACTGAAAAAGCACTTCTAGAATTAAGTCAGTGGTTATTATATAATTCAGGCCAGCCATGAATCCCAGCACAAAGGAATACTAGTTATGAATGTGATAATCCCATAAAATCCCTAGTTCTTCTCTAGATTTTGCCCAACGAGGAACTCAAAGAGACTTGGAGACAACTTTCATAATCTTTTTTAAAAAAACAACAATAATAAAGTTCCCATAAATTGTCTTATTCGGGAACCAGTGAACTAAATGTTTTCAACACGCGTTGATTATTTCCTGGCTTATTGCATTTTTTATTACTTTTGAGTATGTGGTGAAATGTTCACAGACGTCAATCCACAGAGAACTCTACCAACATTTGTTCTGATTCAGCAGTAAAAAAACAGGTTTCCCAGGAGAAAGCAGCAAGACCGAAAGGGGGGAAGAAATCCACCTCTCAGGCCCATGACTAGAAATCACTTGAAATTGTGGGAAGGGCCCAGAATCACAACTTCTAAGAATATGAGGCTCAGTTCTCAACCATGAGACTAACCTGTATTTCAGGAAGCCTAACTGCACAGGCATGTATTTTGTGCTTCTCTCTGCGATAGGTATTAACCACACTGGGATTCAGCCAAGTATTGTGAATCTGGACTCCAACTCTCATTCCATTCTTTGGTGACTTCCCATGATGCACAGCTTCCAAATAGTACACTGAACCACCAGTAAGCTCAAATTTCTCAGATTTTGGCTTCCAGGGGTGGCTCCAGTTCTCCTCCCAATGCGCTGACCATTCAGGAATGCCAGCAGGAATGGATGCAATTTCCACCTGTTTTCAAGTAGGCGACAGCAGTTATTCATTGCATTTACACCCACCTTTGTCTGCAAGGAGCTCAAAGTGGCATGTACGGTTCTTTCCCTCCTCAATTAATCCCCAAATGTCATGACACTGGGTGCCTGTCTTAATTTCAGCTGGTAATTAATTCCAGACAGCTGGAGATGCAACACTAAAAGCCTGGTTTCTAGTACAAACTAAGCACACCTGTAGGACATGCCAAAGAATAACCTGTGAATTGCTTAGAAGAAAAACGGGTTTACATCCCTCAATGAGGGAACGTAAGAGCTCTTAAGGTCGTTCAAAACATAAGCAGTCACATCAGCAGTCTGTCAAAGGAGCCTTCTAATTCCAGCTCATTTTGAAAATGAATGGCACTAAATATTAGGCAGAAGATCCATTGTGTTCATGAACTTGTCTTTTGGGGAATGGGCACCACTTTAACAAAACATCACCAGACTAGAATTTTGGATCATGCATGTCACACATTTTGGCAGCACCTCTGAAGACAGGTGCTCATCCACACTGCGCTTTCCAGGGCTGTGTTTTAATGCTCCGAAACTATACTTCTATCCAACTGAATACCAAGAAAGCCAACTCTCAACTCTCCTCTCTCTAAGGGCAGATCTGCACTCGTGGCTTATAATGTTAGGAATTTCTTATTAACATGTGGCACCAGAGGGCGCTGCAGAGCAGTGAGCCACCGGCAAAGGGAAACTGCCATTAAATGTTATACAACATTGTATTTAATAACATTTAAAAGATCAATGTAGATCCAGCCCAGCTCTCTCTCCTGCTTTTCCTTTTCCCTTCCAAAGTGCTGACTCCGCCCACCTCTGGCGAGCTGCACCAGCAGCCAATCAGAGGGAGGCTACAGCTCGGCCCTCTGGTGGAATTCTGTGGCACTGCACCACCAAACTGGTCGAGCTGAGCTTTCCATCACAGAGGTTGATCATTTATTTTGATATCTGGTATATTGGTCTTGTCCAAAACCCTTTCATGCTGAAGAGGACAAGAAGCTGGAGGTTAACTCGCCTCATTTTTTATATTGTATGTTTTGTCAAAAGTATTGAGAGGCATGGTGAAAATGCACAATGCTTCTGTTGAGCCACAGCTGCAGAATACATTGCCTAGGGGTGGCCTAATGAGTTTTAGGACACTATTAAAGGCCTTCTCATTCAATTTCTTTCTGTTCCACCAAACTTCCATGAAATTATTGGCAAAGCTGTTTAAATTGCTATTTTCTAGCCTGCATCATACATCACTTTAGACCATAGTTAAACTAAGCCAAACTCTTCCCCTGTTACACTGCTTTGATCTAAACCATGGGCTTAATGTTAGGTCCAAACATTGGCTTGAGGTTTGTTTGTTTCCAAATGCTGAGCTTCCAACCAAGGTTTGCTCTTGGCTTATCACTTACAGTTTGTTTGGTGGAAACAAACCACAAGCTTGGTTTCAGACATAGCACTAACCATGGCTCAGCTCCACGCAGCCCTGGAGGAGCAGAGTGCTCACAGCAGCATGCACCAGCACTCTGCACATGCGCCTGTATATCAGTTCAAACTATGGCTTAAGGTAACAAGGAAACAAGGGTCCTGTAATCTGCTCCTTAACGTTTTGCTGGTCCATTTCTATTGGCTACTAAATGGTTTTATGTATCATTTATGTGCCACAAATCAGTTTTAATGAACATATCAGAGTGCTCTGTAAATGATAGCTAAAGCCTTTATATATCAAACTTTTGTGCTCTACCACACCTGCCCAATGTTCCTAACCCTTCTTTTGGATTCTTTTAGCTTCTTTTAAATTCTTATAGACTTTTATATTCACCTTGTGTTTTAATACCTTTTAGCTTTCTAAAGTCCTTTTTAGATTTTAAATTCTGGTCTCTGACCGTAATAAAGATTTGTATTGTATTGTATGTGTCATTTTAATATATGGCATTTTGATTATACAACTCAGATTTTTTTTAAAAAAAGTTGTATACTCATTTTATAAAAATAAAATCTGATGGGCTAGGTGCATTTAGCCCTTTTTTTTATTTCTGAAAACCAAAGGTACTGCCTACACATTTTCTTACAGCAACCTATCCTGAAGATCAGGGTCACTACCCAAATGCAAGTGATTATTTCCTACAGCTTCTCAATCATGGAAAGAAGCAGAGTCTGCACAGTCTCTATTATGTCTTGTCCATTTCAACAAAAAAAGCTGGTGTAATGAATCAAAGGAACGCAGGTGGCGCTGTGGGTAAAAGCCTCAGTGCCTAGAGCTTGCCGATCGAAAGGTCGGCGGTTCGAATCCCCGCGGCGGGGTGCGCTCCCGTTGTTCGGTCCCAGCGCCTGCCAACCTAGCAGTTCGAAAGCACTCCCGGGTGCAAGTAGATAAATAGGGACCGCTTACTAGCGGGAAGGTAAATGTGTCTCCGGACAGCGCTGGCCCCCGGCCTCTTGAGCGAGATGGGCGCACAACCCTAGAGTCTGTCAAGACTGGCCCGTACGGGCAGGGGCACCTTTACCTTTACCTTCAATGAATCAAAACATGGCTGGGACATTTTCTCTGTATAATAATGGCGCCAATCCAAGTGATACCTTTAGACAACCATTAATAGGGGTCCAAATATTGGCTCATTATAGGATGACCAGAATTCCAGAAATTCATTTTTATTTCAGCCATGACAACAGCTATTTCCCCCTCCTTCAACACAGGGCTAGATGGGGGGCCTTACTGTGATTTCACCCTGAAGGAAATATCTCACAGTTAAGCATTATTACGTACTTCACTGGACTATTGTTCCACCCAGCCAATCACAGCACCCGGAGCCGGTCCCTCATTTGAATGCCTCCCACTATATAAGAGCACAGCTGGAGTGAGGTCACTGTCACTTGCAGTAGGACAGCTAAGCTGAACAGGAAGGCAGAGAAACAGCAAAGCCATGTCTGCTGTCCAAAGACGTAGGAAGGCTTACTACCAGAGAAGGAGGCAGAAGAGATCCCGGAAGATCCTGAGCAGACGAAGGCGGCTACATTCCAGGCGAAAGAAGAAAGCGAGGACAAGACGCATAGTGAGGTATGCAAGGAGTCACTATCAAAAGAGGCGCCAGCCCATGTCCCGGTATTTCGACAGGCGGATGAGGGCCAACGTCCTTTCAGCCCACAAGGCCAAGCACACCATGTGCTCCCAGAGGAGTAAAACCTATAGCAGGAAGCCCTCACGGATGGGCAGGCCAAGGAATAAGAAGCATTACACTCGGACTCGCTCAGGCCTTCTGCACGCCAAACTAAAGAAGAGGGCTGCGATCAAGGCTAAACTCAAGAAGGCCCTCAAGAAACATGCTAGGCGTACAGGTACTTCTGCTCTGAAGAAAGCCCAAAGAAAGCCACGTCGAACTGAGAATGATATTTTCTACAGTTTGGCCAACCCTTCCATGCCAAAAGCAGCATCGCCATCAGAGGACCGGCAGACAAAGAAACAGTCTGTCCGCTTCACCACCCCTGGCAACCCAAAGAACAAGGAGATGGAGCAACAGGAAGATCTCTCCACTGATAACCAATCAAGCCAGCAAACAGTGACACCCAAGAAACGTGGCCGGCATGCAGGCACGTCTGTTTGCAAAAGCCGCTAAGCTAGAGGAACACCCACCACTCTTCTCAGAACAACAACCTGCAGGCCTCAAGGGGGGGATTGGAGAAGGGAAAGGGAAATTACCCCCCAGCCTGCTTTGAAGATCCCAGTATAAAGATCCTTTATACTTTATCCTTGAGGAGACCATCTGCACCCACAGCAATCCGAACAGAAGTGATTTTGCTGAACAAATGAAATTAGTTTTATCAATGTCTGAAAAAAGATATTTGATCTTTTGCATGTTTTACGGGCAAGACAACCAACCAGAAGAAGCAATCCCGTGAGAGAACATTTCTTTCTTTATTAACAAGAGATGAACAATCACTTTAAACCGAAAACTAGAGAAAAGATTTGTCATCATTTGGTAAACAATGGATTGTTGTATCCAAGGTGTGCATTCCCCCAAGGAACATCTTAAAATACTAATAAAGCTGGATCTTTTGAAAAATGTGTGGTGGAATTCTTTCGGCTACTTAGGGACAGTTTAGATAAGGGAGTCTTACATTTGAGAAGTCATAACAAATGACGTTTCCTTGCATGCGGCAGATAAGTTATTTAGAATATATTTATTTTCCTCCCTAAGCTAAAGCAATTTAAAAATCAGTTATCATCAGCGATTTCCTTACTGGTTAGCAAATGATTCATAAGCACTGTGCTACTAAGAGTGACTGTCTTCTGAAGTGACAGTCTTACATCCGGTGTAGCACAGGAGTAAGTTAAAGCATGTAAATTTAAGCCCCTGGCTTAAATTTCACTTAGGCCAGGAATTAACTAGATAAAATTAGGCAAGCTCCTCTTATTTCAGAGTCCGGCCCCAGCTCCCTGCTACAAGGGTAGAATCATAGAATTTATAAAGTTGGAAGGGACCACGAGGGTCATCTAGTCCAACCCACTGAAACACAGGAATATTTTGCCCAACATGGGGCTCCAACCCGTGGCCCTGAGATTAAGTCTCATGCTCTGAGCTGCCCCAGCTGTCTACTAAAGTAATGTATGGGAAACACTTTGAACACTCAAAAAGCACTATATAAACGTCAAGAAGCTGTAACAGTCTACACAATTTATATTTAACAGAGAGAGAAGAATCAACACAGATCCTGCTCTGGAAGTCTAAACAAAGGGCAAGGCCGGCAAGTGCCACAATGCAAAGTTATAAGGCTCACAGAATTTTAACTTTTACTTGTAGTGATTTATGGTACTGGTACCTTGCTTTGGGGTTCTTCGGACAAGCTTAAATACAAAGAAGCCTTGTCATCTGCCTGGATCCAGAATGTGTAATTATTTGTCTGTGGTGCCACAAAAAAACCACATAGTCGTGCCCTGGGTAACAAAACAAAAACATGAATGAAGCAAACTTTCAGACGAATAACAGACTTCCACTGCTGAGGGAAGGATGAGTTACATGAATGACTTTAGTTACAGATAGGTAGCCGTGTTGGTCTGCCATAGTCAAAACAAAAAAAATTCCTTCCAGTAGCACCTTAAAGACCAACTAAGTTAGTTCTTGGTATGAGCTTTCGTGTGCATGCACACTTCTTCAGATACACACGTGTATCTTGGTATGAGCTTTCGTGTGCATGCACACGTGTATCTGAAGAAGTGTGCATGCACACGAAAGCTCATACCAAGAACTAACTTAGTTGGTCTTTAAGGTGCTACTGGAAGGAATTTTTTTTGTTATGAATGACTTTAGTTATTACACAATCATTTTAAAAGACTTACCTTTATAGAACACCACTGAGACATATATGTTATCTCATCCCAGAATAAAATGTTACCTTACTAAAGAATCTCCAAAAAATTACCTATAAAAACGATCCTTTCTTGCATAACTAGTGTTATGAAAATTAATAAACTCATTAGTAGTTCATTCTAAAAAATAAAATAAAAAGTAGGAAATGTAGCTCCCTATTGATTGCACACACACACACCCCGGCAAATTTATTTACACATATGAAACCGACCAGGGAACCTCGTGGCTCCTGCCGGTTCCACCTGTAGGTTTAGAAACAGCAAGTGTAAAAACTGAGAGGGAATGTTGTCTTCAGATAGATTTGGTGAAAGTCAATCCGGTTTCTTTCCTTAAAAGTTATCAAATTTTCATATAATGAGATTGTTTCAGGTGCTCATTAAATCAGCACCAGAGAGCTACATCACAATTTCCAGAACCAAGGCACCTTTCCAATATACAGTGGTACCTCTGGTTACGTACTTACCGTATTTTTTGCTCCATAAAACTCACTTTTTTCCTCCTAGAAAGTAAGGGGAAATGTCTGTGCGTGTTATGGAGTGAATGCCTACGGATGGCGGGGGGATCTGCTGCAGTCGTGAGCAGAGGATCCATGGTTCCCCTTCCTTCCCTCCTCCATGGCTCGCTTTGAAACAGCAAAGCGGGAGAAGAGCCACTGAGTGGGGAGAAGAGAGGGACAGAGAGCCTGGTTACAAAGCAGGGATCCACATGAATCCTCAGGATTTTTGCACTGGGTCACCCCAAATTCACCATCAGATCACATAGCATGTCCATGGCTACAGCTTGCACCAAAAAAATCACGCACCCACTGTTGCCTGGGGCCGCAGTGGTGCAAAAACATGGTTACAAAACATGGATCCACATGGATCCTCAGGATTTTTGCATTGGGCTACCCCAAACTCACCGTCAGATCACATGTCTGTGGCCACAGCATGAACCACAAAAATCATACATCCACTGTTTCGTTTAGAATATTTTTTTTCTTGTTTTCCTCCTCTAAAAACTATGTGCGTGTTATGGTCGGGTGCATGTTATAGAGTGAGAAATACGGCAATTCGTTCTGGAGGTCCGTTCTTAACCTGAAACTGTTCTTAACCTGAAGCACCACTTTAGCTAATGGGGCCTCCTGCTGCTGCCATGCCACCGCCACACAATTTATGTTCTCATCCTGAAGCAAAGTTCTTAACCCGAGGTAGTATTTCTGGGTTAGCGGAGTCTGAAACCTTAAGCGTTTGTAACCTGAGGTACCACTGTATGTTGTCATTCTATTGGGTAAACGTTTGGATAGGATATTAAAGACCTTTGGGGAGATTTTGCCATTTCTTCCATAAAGTGCATTTCTCTTTTCCCACAACATTGGTCAGCTGTATGTTTTCTCTGTTCTAAATATTCAAATACAGTGAACATCTATGGAATCCCATATTCTGTGCAAATGGTCTGTGAAGATTCTGCAGCTGAGTCAATTCTGCCTGGGTCATGTGCTATGTCAATAAATGCTAAGGAAAGATGCTCACATTTTATGGTTTTATATCTTGATTTTATTCTGTGAACCACCCTGAGATCCCCAGGTACAGGGCGGTATATAAATAATAATAATAATAATAATAATAATAATAATAATAATAATAATTGCCATTGTGATTCCCTACCTCTCTAGTAATGTAGGAACCTGGGAGGGACGAGAATTACAACAATATAATTGGGATACTTGGTTGCAGGTATTTTTCCCAGTCAATAATAAAGACGCTGGGTTCTCTGAGGAAGGTCAGATTTATTTATCTGCGCGGGGGCTACAGTGGGATCTCCCCCAAAGGCTGAGCCCCTCCTTGTTCTCTGAGGTTGCCTTTTATAGTATGCGGCAAACGACTTCTTACAGGCTTACTCAAGCAGGCAAAAAAAGCAGAACTTTACTCATTCAGGCAAGAGAAACAGAACTTGTTTTAGCTTTCCACCCCCCTCCTGTCCTGTTTGCCCCAAACTGCGAACATGTGCAGATTTCTTGCCCAACCTGCAAACCTGCAAGTTTAAAAACAGTCACCAGTTAGCTCATCCCTTGAGACTGACTTTCTGACCTTCTAGCATAGACAGCTTACTCGGCACTCCTGCTAATTCTGGAGTGGGGAGTGTTGAGATAATCTCGATTTGGGCCTTCTATCAACTTCTCCCCCTTCCCCACAGTAGTCAGTACCTTCTAGATAGTTTCAGTACTCAAATGTTACCAGAGTGTACTGGGTCCATGGGGAAGTAGCAACATCCCACCTGAGTAAGAATAGGCTTTAAGCTTTCATTCAGCCAGCCAGTATGGAGGTGCTTATGAAAATGCAGGAAATTTGACTGACTATCAACTGCTCACCTATCAATCCAGACTCGCTTGAAACTTTGCATGATAAATACATTGGCTCAGTGTGCACACACTCCCTCCCTCTATGTATCCAGCGCACTCCCACCTCTAATGCGCACACGGCATTAGCCACAAACCCATACCTATTCTGTGGTTTCTTGTGAAATATTGCTTTATATGCCTTTTCCCCCAAAACCAGCTTCAATCCAAACTGAGAAAAAGAACAACTTAGCTGTGTTTTAACCTGGTAATGTGTTCTGGGAAAGGGGCCTCTCTCTAACCGAGAAATCTCAGGGCCCTCAAATTAATCTCCATGTTCTTTAGAGGAAGCCATGACAGTTAAGCTGCATGTAGCATTCCTTGTGGATTGTAAATATAAAAAGAACTCCACTAAAATAGTGTGAATTGTAGTACACACCAGAGTCCTCAAAGATCACTGATTACCTGAATGTCTGTTGCCTCCCAAACTGGAAATCTAATGGAGAACTGGCATTAGGGACAAACTGCCGGCGGTACCCAGGAGCTGCTTCAGTAAAATCTGTGTCTGATCCATCCCAAACTTCAAAAAGAAGCCCTCTATTTCCTGAGAAATTGGGGAGCAAGAACTTTATCATCTGCAATGAATGAGTTAATGCACCACAGCACAAATGGACATCACATCAACAGCAGGTGCTGGCTAAGGAGGCAGAGGGTTGATTTTGCAAGTGAACAAATGATCTAGAATCCTACAAATCCATGGCTTTGATAATTTAACTGTGTTAATACAATTAATATGAAGCTAATGCTGAAACAGGGACGTGGGTGGTGCTGTGGTCTAAACCACAGAGTCTATGGCTTGCCGATCGGAAGGTCAGCGGTTTGAATCCCTGCAACGGAGTGAGCTCCCATTGCTTGGTCCCTGCTCCTGCCCACCTAGCAGTTCAAAAGCACGTCAAAGTGCAAGTAGATAAATAGGTACCTCTGCTGCGGGAAGGTAAACGCCGTTTCCGTGCACTGCTCTGGTTCGCCAGAAGCAGCTTAGTCATGCTGGCCACATGACTCGGAAGCTGTACGCCGGCTCCCTCGGCCAATAAAGCGAGATGAGCTGACCCCAGAGTCGGTCACGACTGGACCTAATGGTCACAGTTCCCTTTACCTTAATGCTGAAACATCAAACCAATTGCGAGGGAAGCTACCACTTGGACGCGCCACAATAAAAGTGCACCTGGTTTAGGGCCATTGAGTCTTCTGTGCACACCAACGGCTCCAGTTGTACAGACGATCTTTCGTGGAATGACGTGCTTAATTTGGCAGGGACTGCCTGGTGAGGTGGGAAGAGAAGCATGAATGAGAAGAATATCGCTTCAGAGCAAAATGCCAGTCCAAGCTACTTAAAGGATCACCAGCACGGACTGGTTCAAAGGAAATGAACACATGTTGTGGTAAACCTCCAGAGAAATTCACATTTCCAGAACCATGAAGACTGATTTCAACATTATTACCTGCAACTGTGACCTGCACAGGTGTATCAAAGAAGTCTCCTGTGATGGTGAGATCGGTTCCACCACCCAGGCTCCCTGCAGCTGGAGACACTGAAAATATTTCTGCAGAGGAAGTGAAATAATTGAAATTTAGTTCCGTTTAGATTTAGGTTAGCTAAAATAAAATGGCACAACCACGTACTGGTTTTATATCACATAGACTCTATCTTGCACCATAACAACCCCAATCCATGTTCAAAAGAAATTATTCACATTGGACACATTTGTTCTGAGCTGCAGGTTTTGGGAACTTTGCAAAATTCAAACTAACTGGGAAAGGAGTAAAGCGAATAAAAGAATAATGGTTTGGGCTGCAGGACAATTGTGATCAGGTTTAAAATCTCAATCTGGAAATTAATCCCCCTTTCTCCAGCAGATACAAACACACACAAGCACACAGTGTTTTAATCATAACACAAACCCCCAGTTTCATGCTATACAAAAGGTTTGTGCTCTCCTTCTCCTCCATTCTTCTCCAGCAGGAGGGAAATCTAACTTTTGCTTTCATTTTCAGCTAATCACAGAACTGTGGTTAGTGCTAAATGTGGTTAGGGCACAGATGGGCAACCATTTTTCAGCTGAAAGACCAGTTTTCTCAGAGACAATTTGTCAGGAGCTGCATACCAGCAACGGGGGAGGGGAGATCTGGAGTAAAAACTGGGCAGGTCCAGAACCAAAAATGAGCAAGGACAGAGTCGAGGGTGAGTGAAGCTACCCCTGTCCCATCTTCTCCCCTGCTTCTTCGGTTTCATTATCCTTTTCTGCACAGATAATTACAGCAGATTTGTAGACTGAACTGGCAGTGGGGTTAATTCCAGAATCCTCTTCAATGAAAGACTACAGGGCAATATACCTGAGAATGTCTGGTACAGGAAAAGGTCCTGTTTTGCACTGATAAGCCAAGCATCCTTGTTCACCACTGACCTGCAACACAAAAGTGAGTGAGTGAGCAACAACACTAATACAGAAGGAAATTAAGACTGGGATATGTAAGATATTCCAGTGTAGAGTGAAAAATGTAAATGTGTACAGAGCTGCAATAAGCTAGTTGTTTGGGGAACGCTTTCATCACTCACCCCATATGTCATGGGAATCTGTTGCATTATTGACCTCCAGGGGGCGAACTTGGTTATTCATTCATTCATTCACTCATGAATTGCTTCCCATGAAATATCCTGAAGCTATTTAACAATAAGAGCATCAACGCTAGACTATATATATAACACTGAGGCAAAAAACTCCCCTTTGAAGGATTGTTGGGAAAGGTCTTCCATAGGTGACACAAAGGCAATTGTGACAGTGTCTACATGATACGAAATGGGAGGTTATGTGCCACCACACTGTAAGTCCGATTCCTACATCCTACGGAACGGACTTCCTGATGAGATAGAATCTGCTGGAAGATCAACTAAGTGAGACTTGTCTTTAAGCTTACACTGCTAAAATTGAGCTTACACTCAATGTATGTGTCAAAATAATTTGTTCTCCTTGCTCCCCCTTCTGAAAATTGATTTTGCTGGAACTCCAGATGAAAAGTAAAATAGTGGATTTCTGTCTTGATATGGTTCCAGAATCCACCAAGCTGAAACCAACTAGAAAGGTGCAAGTCACCTGTGACTCATGTTAAGACTGGCTCATATATAAGCTGAGCCATCCCTACCACACACACAGAGAGAGAGAGAGAGAGATCAGAACATAGCATCCCAACCATGTACAAATGGCAATTTCATGCAGCCACAACAGGGGACTCTCCTGGCCGTGCAAAATCAGTGACAACTCAGGGATCAGGAAAAAGCAGGAGTTCACACCATTTCTGGCTTTCAAAGGCTGCTCTCACAAGTCCAGGGGAAAAACCCTCCCACCTGTGCACAGCTAGCTCTTTGCAGTGAGGGAGATTGAGGCATTAAATTACCGTATTTTGCGCCCCATAGGACGCTCCGGCCCATAGGACGCACCTAGTTTTTTGGGGGGGAAATAAAGGGAAAAAAATTTATTTCCCCCCCCCCAGGTGCGGGGCTGGAAGAACCAGGTCGGGGAACAGTGGGAAGGCACGCTCTGCCTCCCTGCTGTCCCCCAAGCTTGTGGGGCTGGCGATGGGGAGAAGTGCGCTGATCCCAGGACTGCAGGCAGCTCTGTGCCGCCATCCGGAGCGGGGCGGGACTTAGCGCCCCGCTCCCGATGGCCACGCAGAGCTGCGCTGATCCCGGGACTGCAGGTAACTCTGCGCAACCCTCGGAGCCGGTCTCCTGAGGGTTGCGCAGAGCTTCCTGAAGCCTGGAGAGCGAGAGGGGTCGGTGCGCACCGACCCCTTTCGCTCTCCAGGCTTCAGCGAAAGCCTGCATTCGCCCCATAGGACGCACACACATTTCCCCTTCATTTTTGGAGGGGGGAAAGTGCGTCCTATAGGGCGAAAAATACGGTATATTTGGCTGCCAAAGACTTTGCAGCCAAGCCCTGCACAGCCCAATGTGTCCCCTGGAAGGGATACCCCTGAACTTCAAAAGGCATCTTTGCAGCTAGTGGTTGGTTAAAGCTTTGAAAGACATTGGTGCAAGGCAAGTTTTCAAAGACAGGTGACTGCCTCCTACCAGCTGATTTTAGAATTTTAGCATCTTTAAATCTTCCTGTTGAAATGAATGGATACACTGTTCTCCAGGGATTTCAGTGGGAAGATTTAACGACATTGCAGCTCCTCAAACGTCTCATAGGAGAGAAGCACCAGTCCACCAGTGGAGAAGAAACTCTTGTCCCACCTCCTCAGTGATGAATTCTTAGTTCTCCTCCACTTGCCATTCGGGGGCTGGGAGGGAAAAGCCAGATACATTTTGGGACTTTCTAATGCTCATCTCTACCTTGAGGTGAGCATCAACAAGCTCTCAAAGCATATTTTCAGACCCAAATGCAGGAAACGTCACTGGCACCTTGAATGCCAACTTCTGAATACAACTACTTTCCAAAGCAGAAGGTATACGTGCATTTAAATAGTATTTGTATGAAAAAGAAGGCATTCAGAAACACAACATAACTATAAAATTAGCCAATTTTTTAAAAAAACAAACTTAGCCCTTACTTACTTTCCTTTGTTAAACACTGTAAAGCTAACATTATGTGACCCTGTAAGAAGAGAAAAAGCACACATCTCAGTGCAGGAATGTGAATCATTTCATGTACATACAGAGTAAACTAACGTGCCTCACTTGCTCTGAAATGCCCATGTCTTTTGCACCCAGTTCAAAACCATCATCACACACCTGACAAGCTGCTGTTTCTTCTCCATTCCCCTCCCCCCAAACCACACCTCGTGCTTCTTGGGAGGAATAACTCTTGCTAGGAGTGCCTGTTCTCTATGGCTTCAGCAAGGCATTCACTGTGATACACTTGTTGCTTACAGTTGGTCTATCATGGTTGCCAAAAGTGTGAGCTGGGGGAAAATGCCCCAAGTAGCAAGAACAAAGAGAAAAGGAATTTGTAAGCAGCTCTCCCCTTTTCGGAAAGAGAATGGCCATACGGCCCATACCCCCAATGGTAGCCTTTTTTATGTTAGCCCTCTTGATTTTTATGTTACTGAATAAAATCAAGATTGCATGTTATTTCCCTGCTTTCCACTGACCAATATGGTTCCCTTCCATTCGGCATGCTACAGTTCCCAGACCGTGATCGACTTGAATGGGATATCTGCAAACAAAGGAAAATAAAATACAATGAACCATGAAGATGCAATAGAGGCAAAGGAAAGGAGATAGAACGTATTATGTGAAGCTGAGCTGAGTACTGTTCATTCACTTCAAAGACAGGAAAGGACTGAATGTGTTCTGCCACATCCAAACCCATCACATCAAATGATCAGCAAGTGATGTCTGAGCATCCACTGAGAAATTTAGTTTTTATCTGCCCTGTTAATTTTGTGTCCCACTCTCCAATTTGTGTTCTCATTTGTCCCCATGCAGTGGTAATAGGATATCGAGAAACAAATACTATTTTGTGAATGAATGTACACTCCTTAGGTTCTAAAGGCCACAGCATATTTTTGATTTTTAGTGCTACCCATCAAAATGCTTTAAATATAAGCATGAAAATGTAGTCAAGGGACACAACGTATCTTCGGCACATGAACTCTGACAACAAATATTGATTCACCTGCTTTAAACCTAATAAAGACAACAGCTGGGAGAACTATCTGTCCATTTTTTGTGTGTTTTAGAAGCATTTGCAGCAGCTCAGGAATTGGGCCTCTAACGAAGAACTGAGATTACCGCATCTCAGACTTGGATCATCCACCCATGAAATTGGGAGGGGTGGAAATCACCTTGAATAGGGACAGGGAGCCCAAATATGGACACTGAATCAGCTCTAAGTTATTCTGCCAGAGGGCATGACTAGAAAAAACTTTTAAATTGTATAATAAAGTTAATACTGGACCTGTTTTCTTTTGTTTTAAAGCCAGAAAAGTCACAGCCTAGCCTTGGAACTTTTAAATAATGATTCATTAAAATACCTAACAGGTGAGCTTCACTGTCTTCCTGTTTCAAAACAGAGGTCTTTACATCGAAAAGCAGCAGGAGAGGGCTTGATCGATTGACCTCGTTGTGTTTGAATTATTGCATGATGTGATACACTAAGAACCTCACTCCTCTCAAGGACATCCGTATACTCAGATACCACAACCAAAGCAGAGTTCACAGGAACCATCATTCAGAACCCAAACCATGCCTTGAGTTTCTAACTGCACAGCTAAACAATGATTTCGACTTCCTAATCTGCTTTCATTTTCTACCTTCTCAGTGGTCTATTCTGGAAGCAACTGCAACCATGGCGTGTTGATTCAGACACCACCACAAGACAGCAAAAACCAAAGGTAAAGGTAAAGGGACCCCTGACTGTTAGGTCCAGTCGCAGACGACTCTGGGGTTGCGGTGCTCATCTCGCTTTATTGGCCGAGGGAGCTGGCGTACAGCTTCCGGGTCATGTGGCCAGCATGACTATGCCGCTTCTGGCGAACCAGAGCAGCACACGGAAACACTGTTTACCTTCCCACCGGAGCGGTACCTATTTATCTACTTGCACTTTGTCATGCTTTCGAACTGCTAGTTGGCAGGAGCAAGGACCGAGCAACGAGAGCTCACCCCGTCATGGGGATTCGAACCGCTGACCTTCTGATCGGCAAGTCCTAGGCTCTGTGGTTTAACCCACAGCACCACCCTGTGACACTAATCCAACACTAAAAATTGTGACAGCAAGGACCCCTTCTAAACCAAGGATAGGCACTTCTCCATTTAGTTAGGCATTCAATACTTCCCCGGCTGCCATGCTCTTGTATCCACACCTTTGTAAGGCAGGAAGATGCGAGCAGAACAACTTGGCCCCTCCCATGTGACCTCCTTGGTCCCACACGTGAGACTTTATTGTCCCCCTTGGACACAGGCTGCCCCACCAAGCCCAGGGGCTACCAGCTGCCACCGACTGGCTGGTATTCTTGCTGTCACCATGGCAGCAGCAGAAAAGAAAAGAAAAATACTGTGTGGCCACAATGAATGGCTGCATGGGAGGAGCATGAGTCAGGTAGTGAGGGCCCTTAACTATGGTGCTGGTCTTGCAAGAACTCACACACATATTTAAATGAAGGTACATGTGAGAAAACGAAGGGTGAATGCACAAAAAGGGTATCGCACACACAAATTTGCATCCATGAATTTGGACAGAAAACTGCTTGTATATAGAAATAATCATTTGGACCAATTTTGTAGCTGAGGGTAGGGATGGAAGGACAGAAATTATATTTCATTGGCATCGAAACTATTAGTGTGCCTTCCCTAATTTAAATGAGCCCCAAATATGCTGCACCATTATAAGCTTTGTGAATTCTCACGGCAAAAAGCATTGCAATCAAAGCTGTGAGGAGCAACTTACATGCTGCGCATCTGCTTATTGGCAAGGGAACAAATGGTTATCCATCCATCTCTTTTTGCCTCGAGGATAACAGGGCTGGGGCAGAGAGAGGGAAGAAGCAATGTTAGTTCAAGGCAACCCATAATAATGCAAGTCCACAATACATTTCTCTCCCCCATGCACAGTAACAATCCAAATGTATTATTTAATTATAGCCAGGGTTGGGACAGGGGCAGGCTTTGGAAATCTTTCGTAATATGGCAACCCCAAATGGATCTTCTCAATTTTGGGTCTGCTCAATTTTGAGCTTCCTTGGCTCAGTGCCCTGTGCAGGGGATCCATTCACACCACCCTACATCCAACACTGGTTGGGGTGCGGGGCCTGTGGGGCTGCTCATGTTCTCGGAGTGCATCTCCCACCATGGCTAACCGTTGGCCATTCTGGCTGGGGCTGAGCATGTTAAGAGTCCAGCAACTGGAGAACCACAGTTCCCCATCCTGGAAATGCAAAGGGAATAACCCTATATCGAGTTGCACAGAGGAACTGAAGGAAGCAATAAACACACTTACCCATCAATAAAATCTGTGTTAAAGCTGTAGGCATCAAATTCTTGGGCCAGGATAAAACCATAGACTTGCATTACATTTCCTAACAGGATAAGGATGGGGGTGGGGGAATTATTCAAAAGGCAAAATGAAAATCTGTGTAGAGGAAGACGGGGAGTTGGGTTTTACTGCCTTGATTTCTTCAGTGCAGTAGAAGATGCCCTCTGTAAGTATTATAAATCTAAAAATTATAAGCAAGAATCATAAAGAATAATACATAGATAACAAATTCTCCATGGCTGGTGTTAAGAGGAGTCAAAATTGTACTATTTTTATGTGGTATTTGTTAACATTAAAACAAAAGAGGTCAATACATTAGTCAGCATTATCCTGTATCTTATTTCAGGTCAGCATTATAACATTATATATAATTTTAAAGTTAACTCAGGGTTGCAGCATTATAATATTAACCTAAACTGCTTCTTAATATTATTGCCTTAATTGCTGTAATGAGCCTAACTAATGTTAATGACTTCGAAATAGCTTGGAGACACAATTCAGGATATAGCATGTAGGCTTATGCGCATTTAAAAAATCATGGGGATCGGAAGGTCAGAAAATCGTAATAATAGCCTGAAATAAGATACAGGAAAACACTGTTCATTGTTCTTTCTGGTATCTGCTATATTCCCTTATCTTATGCTCCTTTTTGTGTATAGGACTCATCAGCCCAGGAATGTAAACCATCCAAAGAGAAGGAAAACTCTTAAAAGTTCTTGAATAATCATAAATAAGTTGTTTTCCCCATCAATTGTATAAAGAAAGACATACGGTCTCCACGTTAAGGTCCATCCTTTACCTGGGACTCCATAGGGGGGGTCCACACGATAGACCACAGGAGTGTGTGCAACAGAGAACTGTTAAGAAAAGAATATATATTATATTACATTCACAAAACTATTGTTTCATTCACAGTTTTGGAGAGAGAGACATCAGTGTACTCTTGCCATGTAGTAGGAATACTCCACTTATGTTGATGGTTGTCTGTATTCTGCCATTTTTGAAGAAGGGCAGAAAAATCACAGAATTAAGTATTAAGCCAGGGGTCAGCAAACTTTTTCAGCAGAGGCCGGTCCAATGTCCCTCAGACCTTGTGGGGGGCCAGACTATATTTTGGAAAAAAATAATGAACGAATTCCTATGCCCCACTGTGGCGTTTGCCTCCTAGGTGGGTCATAAGGAAAGGGTTAAAGGAGTGTGATGTGATTGGCCAGTGAGAATGCAAGGGAGGAGTAAAAATTAGAGTGGGAGGTTCTGAAAGTCAGTTGAGGTTTGGGAATTGGAGAAGGAAGAGGGAGGAATAGGCAGTGGGTTGGTCGAGTTGTATTGTGAGAGAGTGAGAGTAATTGTCAGGTGGAGTTAGATAGATAGTTGGAATAATCAGTTTAAAGTTGTTAAGAACAGATAAGTCAGTAAGAAACTAAGATTAAGAAACTGCCAAGAAAAATGAACTGAAACCATAAGCTTGTTCCTGCATTTAAAAATAAACTTGATTATTTGTTAATGTTAACATCTGTCTGGACTCCGTGTGTCCCCGTGAGAAACGGGGTGGTGGCAGTGAAGAAAGCAATCTCAATGGTGGCACAGGGTCAATAGACCGTCAAACATCTGGGGGCCCTGTGTGATCGCCACACCCACAAATAACCCAGAGATGTATTTTAAATAAAAGGACACATTCTACTCATGTAAAAACATGCTGATTCCCGGACCGTCCACAGCGCAGATTTAGAAGGCGTTTGGGCCGGATCCAGCCCCCAGGCCTTAGTTTGCCTACCCATGTATTAAGCTAATTTATTACGGATTGCTGAGCCAGAGCAGTGTCTGGTGATGCAGTGCCTCAGAACTCCACCAGAGGGCTGTGACCTTTCTCTGATTGGCTACCAAGGCAGCCAGCTGGTGAGGGGTGGAGCCTGATTTGATACCCTAAGACAGGATTCCTCAACCTTGGCCCTCCAGATGTTTTGAGACTACAATTCCCATCATCTCTGACCACTGGTCCTGCTAGCTAGGGATCATGGGAGTTGCAGACATCTGGAGCGCCGCAGTTGCTGAAGCCTGCCCTAAGGAATTCTGCAAAATACTGTACAATCCTAACATTTTTTCAGGCTGCTTTTTCAGTGCCACATCGCTTAGACATTAGATATTTTTCTAGTTTTGAATATTTTGAATGAATTTTTGGTTAGTGAATAAAATCCTGTCTCTTTCCCAAACCTAACTTCATCCAGTCACTTTGCATTCTGATACTTACTGGTATTAAAAGCAATTCAAATATTCTCACCTTTCTCAAATATCCAATATATTCATATCCTGTTTTTCAATTATCTATGGTCCACAATTATAATAAATTATTCTTGAAATATGTATCAGTGACCTGTTTGTTAAATGTTATAAGTGACATTCGTTCCCACAAATCCTCTGGGAAGAAGCCAGCGAAGGAGCCATGGCTCGACCAGAACACATTTTGGCTTTTAATTGCCCCTCCTCTTTGCTTTCTCAGAAACCTGACATTTTTTTGCCAGCTGGATTATAGGCAATTTCCTCTCCACAAACCCAGTAGTCACTTTTAGTGTATATTACTGATACCATTAGCAATACGGCCTTTCTGTGGTGTGGAGAATGGTAAAATTATTTTGGAAGGCCACTTGTAATTGGAGCCTTAATTTACCTCTAATATCTGTAACTGCATTCAGTTCATTTTCAGGCTTTCTTTTATAACAATTTTTATTGAGAGTTTCTTTTACAACAATTTTTATTGAGAGTTTTCAACATAAGATACAATAAAAACCCAACTAATCTAAAATAAAAAAGAATGAAAAGAATAATAGAAAACAAAGGAAGAATGAAAAAAACCCAATGTGTATATATAATATTAAGCCCTCTATCACTATACCTTGATCCTTATTCCACACACAGAAGACTGACCCCTCCCAGCTCCAACCTTCTCCCTTTTCCCTCAGCCTCACACCCTGAGAAAACATCTCTGGCCTGCCTCTCCTGCGGGTTCCTTCATCCCCTGTCCATCACCCATCCTCATCCATTCCAAATACAAATGGCATTTTAATATTTAGCATTTTTATTATTTTTGTTCCTAAAGTTAACCTGCAAAGATACTGGAAAGACTGATGTCTATCAGTGGTGTATAGAAAATGCTGTTTGTAGCTGAACAGCGTAGATGATGATTTCAGCAGTTAGTCACTGGATTAAAATAACCCTTCTCTAACTACAGAGCTGCAAATAAAACGTTTTAAATGTGTTGTAAAGTGCAATATACAAATGTGACACTAGATGGTGAAAGTGAGTTGTGCAAAATTCAATGTATTTTTCAAAACCTTTTTTTAAAAAAAGTTGTTTTTTTCCCACAGAATTTTTTATATGTGTGTAGATTCCACCAAGGGTTGTCTCTCCCCCCAGGTCAGTCAAGTGCGGTGGTAGGGTGGCAATGGGTAGGGGTGGGCGAGGCGGAGCTGCTTGTTGCTGCCCCCAGTGCTGGGCCTGGTGGCAGCCTGGGCCTGACTCTGCAAGGCGCAGCGTGCAATCCACCCCAGCGCCTAGTGGATCAGGCCCTTTGGATGTTGTCAAGGGACGCAGGGCCTGCCGGCAGTGTCGACCTGGCTCTGCAAGGTGCAAGGTGAAGTCCACCCCAGCGCCTAGCCGAGTGGGGGCGTCTGGTGCTACTGACTTGCATCTAGTAAATAACTGTCTACTCAGAAGAAAGTTGCACTGAATTCAGTGGGCCTTACTCCTAGGTAAGGGTGCAGGCGGCTATAGTGTTTCATCTAGGCAGCCAGGGCTCCTCCGGATAACAAAATCTTTTTGCACCAGATCAGTGAGGACAACTTGCTTTTAAAAATTCTCCCATATATACAGAATTCCCTGTGTGCCTTTTGGACTGTATCTGTAGGTTTCCCCCTCTGTGTCAAATCACTGGGGTCAAGTAAGTGTTGCTTACTTTTTACTATGGAAGATGAATCTTCCTCAGGAGGTTCTGGACTCTCCTTCTTTGGAGGCTTCTAAGCAGAGGTTGGGTGGCCATCTGTCATGGATTCTTTAGCAAAGTTTCCTACATAGCTGGGGTTTGCACTAGGAAGATGATTCTACGTTTTGCTGCTTCAGCAATATTTCATTGTGTTCCTATGGTTTTATGTAATTGTACTTTGTATAATTTATAAAAATTATAAATAAAACTTCTATTTACTAAGAAAACATTTCTACCAGTAGGACAGGAGGGGGCATAGGCGTAGCCAGGATTTTTGTTAAGGAGGGCATAATTTGCATTGATTTTTACTTGGGGGGGCAGTTGTCCCCTGCCTCCCTTGGCTATGCCCATGAGGGGGCACAGGAAGGAAGGAAGGTCGGAAGCAGGCTATGGTCAGAATAAGGTAGGGAAACACTGGTTTAACAAACCAACAAACAAACCAACTTCATAACCCATGGATTTAAGAAAGTTTGCTGTGAAACTGACCAGAGTTTGTTTTATAGCTTGATCTCTGGTTCATTCACCACACTAAACACAGATTCTGTGAAGGCTACAGGTTTCACAAGAGGAAGAGTGGCAGAGAGAATGAGGTTTCATTTTGGTTCACTGCAACTCATGCACATAGCGCTAAACCAGGGGTCTGCAACCCGCATGTGGCTCTTTTACACCTTTGCCGCGGCTCCGGGGCGGATACTAGTGAGGGGAGGAAGCGCATTGTGCGCCCCGACACTCCCCACTGTGGGGGGCGCTGTACTGGCTGTGACGTCGCATGGGGGCGGTGTGTGCGTTAGTCACGCACCGTCCCGACGTCACCTTTCCGCCCGCCCGCTACATTGTAAGGGGCATGTACGCTGGTCACTGCATTGATAGGGGGCATGTACGATGGGCACTGTTTTGAAGGGGAGTGAAGAACACACACACACAAAAAAGTAACTTGTTACTTTAACGTTTATTTCTATGAGGAGGAGTAATTCTGAGGGGTCAAACAAAGAAATAATAAAAAAGTGACAAAAAAGTTATTTTTATAATGACGAGTTTTGCGGCTCCCAGTTTTTTTTCCTTCGGAAATGGGTCCAAGTGGCTCTTTTTGTCTTAAAGGTTGCAGACCCCTGCGCTAAACCATAGTTTAGCATTACACCGAATGTAGCTGGTGGCATCTCTACACTGACAACATGAAAGCAATGGCTTGTGGACTCTCACTCCTTGGAGGTTTTTAAGCAGAAGTTGGATGGCCCTCTGCCATGGTCACTTTAGCCTAGATTCCTGCATTTCAGGGGGTTGGACTAGATGACCCCTGGGTCCCTTCAAGCTCTAGAATTCTATGGTTCTAGATACAAAGGGATGCACACACATATGTATGCAACAACAGCAGCAAGAATACTGATTGCAAAGTATTGGAAGACACAGGATTTACCCACCCTGGAAGAATGGCAGATGAAAGTGATGGACTATATGGAATTGGCAGAAATAACTGGCAGAATCCGTGACCAGGGAGAAGAGTCGGTGGAAGAAGACTGGAAGAAATTTAAAGACTACTTGCAGAAATACTGTAAAATTAAGGAATGTTAAAATGATGTTGGAAGGAAAACAAGTGGTATTGGTAAAAAGTTGTTTTTTTTAAGAACATGTAAGTATGGATTGATAATGGTTAAAAATATATATTTACAATAGGTGATGATATAGAGTTATGAAAAACGACAGAGGGTAAGGATTTGCTGAAAGGACTTTTTTAAATGGGAATACAAAAGGGGAGGTGTGAGGAGGTCAAAGAACCAAGGAAATAAGATAAAGGATGACTGAAAGATTGAGTTAATCTTAAACTCTTTTTGTTTTCTTTTTTATATTTAACTATTGTCTCTTTTTTATATATTCACTTTTTATGTGTGTGTTTTCTATTTTATTCTTTTATCTTTTTTAGACTGTTATAGTGACTTTTGTGAATCGTATTGTCGAATTTTATGTCTGTTTTTTTAAAATCTTAATAAATATTATTTTTTTAAAAAACAAACAAAGGGATGCACACAATCAGTTGTGAGATCAGGGATTCTTTACAAATTGAAAGCAGGTTTTCCATAAGCTTCCATGATCTAGCACAACAGAACTGCCTTCCTTTACAGACTCTGCCTCTTGCACTTCTCCCGCTAAGAGGAAGGTGAAGCAATCGGAATACTTAATGAATCTTCTCCTCTTCATGCTGATCATCAGAGGCACGAGGTCAGCCTCTGACTGCGCCACTGGGCACAAGCTGTGGGGAAGCAGAGGAGGAAGCGCAAGGAGAGGAAGGCCGTGGCCGCCAGCTGCTTGGAATACCTTCCGCAGGTTTCTCCAAACCTGTCACAGCCAGCAGCTGTCTACGTTTTTACAACTACCACAGAGAGAGAAAATTAATTTTTAATGCGCATGGCTCACAGGTTCTCGTGCCCCCAAACAAAGAGGCAGTGTGTTTTATTTCGCTTGGAATGTGTCTCATTAACTGCATCCCCTGGTGGTTTTTCATCAGCTCTCTAAGCTAGCTGAACTCCCAAACAGCACCTTAGCTTTAATGTGCAATTTGCTGAAACATGGGACTCCTCATGCTCGATGCTGCAGAAAACCCTTGGTTGCACTTGTACACGACATGGTAAAAGTTCTGGCTCATTGGCGAGCAGAGACAGCTGAGTGAGCTCAGTGAGCAAAAGGCAAGCTTATTCTCTATTCCCAAACCACACATATCTCACCAGCCTTAGTGCCATTCCATGCTGATGTTGCAGTGACAGAAAGCTCATATGCACAGCCAGTTTACCAAATATTCTTCCACACAGCACTACCGCAAGTACAGAGAAATCTTCATTAGCTCTGGGCAGGATGACCCACAGAGAACATAGAGACAAGCAAACTGCTCTTGTCCCAGGGAACTGAGATCATTTGTATCAGCTTAGCAAGCAGGGGCGATTTTGTAAGTTCAGATATGTAGTAAGACTGGTTGCCTGTTTCAGTTTGATGAAACCACAAGTGATGGGTGCTCTGGGCATCTTTGACTGGTCTTACAAATGTTGTGGTTGTGCCATGGCAAATGCTCAGAAGTGTATGCTCCTGAAAATAAGTCCCGGCTGTCACCAAGCCTGCATGTGGCCCTGATCACATGTTACACGCTAACAAACATATCAAGATGGAGGAGTATCAAAAAGATACTTTTGTTCTCACTGGGGCTAAATGAATTGTCAAGTAAAGCCACTTCCGCATAAGGAGGAGGTGGGGCTGTGGGCTTCACGGCCCCTCCACGTGCGTGGGAGTTGGGGGGCCAGCCCCGTGCAATTGGGGGATTCCCGGCTGCGCCAATCGGGTTGGTCTGGGGGTGTGGCCTGCCCCATAAAGGCAGGACACAGCCAGGGATCTCCCTATTTGTCCGCCCACCAGCTGCTCCGGTTTTCCCACCCTCCTGCCCTCTGAGGTTTTCTTTCTTTGACCTTGCTATGGACCTTGCTTGGTCGCCATTGAGGGGCCTGGTAGGAATTTTCCCACTTGGCAAATTGGCACCAACCACTTGGTTTTCACCTACCTCGTAGCAAATCGTCACAACTTTCTGAGTATTGGCGGTTAGGGATTGGAATAGTTCTGTAGATGGAAAGAGGGGAGGTAGCGCCATCACCTGCCCCACATATAGAGGGGTAGTCCGTTAAAGGATTCCGGGGGGCGTGGCCCTGTCCGAAGCCTAGGGAGGTGAGGGCCTAAGGCACGCCCCCTATCAGTGACCCTGGGGAGCTCCTAGTTGATGTACATTAGCAGGACTCCCCCTACTGGTGGTTAACCCTTCCCGGACTTCAAGCAGATGGGCTGGAGTCAGATATAGTCGGTTAGGTCCAATGCCTAAGCCAATACTGCTCATCACCTGTAACCAATAAAGTTGTGGCCTTTTTTAGCCCATTAACCTTAATAATTGTGTCATGTGTTATTATTTCTATCTGGGGGGGTCGGGAACTCGCCATGCAAGAAGAGTGTGATTGCATAGGCTGTATGAGAATGAACTGGGTACAGATTAAGCATTTGCCTCCTCCTGCACCCTTTATTCCTTCCAATCCATGAGAGCAAGTACCACTCCTATTCACAAGGTTATATCCAGAGTATGCCAATGTTTTCTTCCTCTGCCGTGCTTGCCAATGCCTGATGCTTTGCACCATCACTTGTACTGCAAAGCTTAGGTAGTCAAGGAGTTAAAGGACGCGTTCAATGTGCCATTGAGCCTGGGCATCTCATAAATGCAAGGATGAGCTAGGCTAAGGCTCAGAGCTAGCTCTAAATGTCCAAATTCTACCCTGCATTAAAATCATTATTTCTAACAATGTATTAATGGCCCATGTCCCATGGCCTGGCTACTGGATTGCTGCTAATCACGCGTCCATCCCCTTGAATACATACCTGAAATGTGCAGTTGTCACAGTGCAACTCCTTCGTGTTGTTGACAATTTGCCCATTCAGAGTGAACTGGAGTTGGTAAAGTCCTCCCCACTGCGAAGCCCTTCAATGGAAATAATAAGAGCAAAGGATAGCTAGCAAGCAGCATGAGAGAGACTGGAGTCCACCTTACTAAAATGTAAAGCTTAATATTGAATCTGAAGAAAGAAACGAGGCAGCCATGATTTCTCCCACCCAGTTCCCACCCATCTTGTCATTAACTCCCCTGCGTCTTCTGTAGGAGAAAAACACACACACAAAATGGGTTCAGAAGAGCAGAGAAGGAAGGCCTTGGAGGAGAAGACCATGGAGAAGAAAACATGGCTGCCTCATCTCCCAGGTGCTTCACTGATATAATATAGTCTGTGGGGAGAACCTAGGAAAGCTAATAGAGCCTGATCCTCTGTTGGGGGGGGAAGGTTGCAGGAGGGGATTGCAGAATAGGACTAGGTCTGTTACGGCAACTTCTGTTTTATGCTATCTGAGAACCAGGACTTTTTAAACTTAAATAAAGTTCAGTTAACTCCACCGCCACCACTTTGCAAATTCAGGTGGTGATATAGGGTTTCCACCTTTTTTTCTAGAAATAGGGCTGTGTCTTTCACAGTTAACGGCATGTAGTCACTGAACGGGTAAAGCTTTTCCTCAACAGATGTACAGTAACATGAAAATCTTCACCTTCTGGATTGCTGCTCATTATGTGACTTTTAAAAGAAAAACTGCTCTCCGAGAAAAACAGTGGTGTGATATTTTTACTGGAGGGTTGGGAGAGGGGAGTGGGGAAGAATAGCACAGGAGACAGCTGCAAATTGCCACCCAAGTGCAGCAGGTCAAAGTTTTAACTTAGTAATAATTATCCAGAAACCCAGTCTTTAAACTTAAGCTTTTTTCTCTCTTTCTCTTCAGGGCACAGGTATGCGCCACACTTGTTAATCATTGTCGTTAACATTTTAAATTCTGATTTCCTGCTTGGCACTTGGTGAAGTCCTTGTTATGGTCTGGAATATAAACTAATGCTACTTTTCTTATAACTTTTCTCATCCACATATACTTTTCCTATTAAAGTCCCTGTCCAATAAAAATTAATAAATTCACAACCAAGGCATAAAAGCGGGGCGGGGGGACATGACTCTTGTTGGTGAATCTTTCTAATATTACAGCTACACTAGGGTGTCAAGCATTTTGAAGATATAAATAGACTTGAAATGTTCTTTAAACGGAAAGACGGAAAGACAATGACTTTTGCTTAATTAAAAACTGAGAGGTAACGAAGTATTTGTTACTGAGCTGGTGCTTCAAGCAAAGGCTGGTGCCAAGAGGCCTGCAATAAGCCCTGAAGAACAAGTTTATTCAGGACTTTTTGAGTAAAAAATGAAATGCTGGAACTCTTATCTTAATATGCTAAGGGTGTTAGCCTAAAATGGCAGCAAAAAAAGAAGAGGTGCTGATATCAGTGAGTATGGTCACACAAAAAGCACTGAGGTTTAATAGATATAGACAGACAGAGAGATATTCTATCCTTGAAACATGCCCATGGTAGCTGACAACAGTATAGATATATAGAAAATTAACAGTACAACCCTATGGTATATCTTCAGAAGGACTGCAACTGAAAATAACTATAAATGGAGAAATATCGCATAAAAAGAAAAGAAAAATCAAGAAGTGGAGTTAAAGCATAACAAAAGAGCAGGAAAAATGTTAACACCATAGCAAGACCATCCAGGGTTGCCATATTCTGAAGAGCAAAAAAGAGGACATTTGCCGACTTCTACTTGGAACTATGGATCGCTATGATGATTCTAACCATGAAAAAGAGGGCGTGTCCTGGAAAAAGATGACATATGGCAAGTAATCCTGCAGGCCCTATAATATGTCTGTCTTTACTGATGTCAGTCTAGCTCTAGTGGTGTAGTTTTCTGTTTTTATGGTGAATTTTTATTGTTTTTATCCTCTACAAGTTGTTGGGGGGTTTTTTTACGTTTTTACGTACACCGCTTAGAAATTCTGAAAAGCATGCTGTAAATAAATATATAAAAAATAAAACCCTGGGCAAGGACTTCTGCATGCACAATGGGGCCTTCTCCCCTCCCCCTCCATGCTGCCTCAAATTGGGGGCTGTCAGGAGAACCCCCAGAGCAGCATGCAGCAGGGGGAGAGGGATCATTCTGTCTGGGAAGCCACAATGCTTGCCCTGATGGAGCAGTTGCCACAGGACAATGTTTACTTTCTCTTCATGCTTTGACAAGGTCCCGGTGAATCGTCGGTGGCACGTTAAAGGGGGCAGGAGGCAGTGGATGAGGACATTCCCTGCTTGTGAACCTGCCTCCGTGTTGGGTTTGGATCCCTTCCTCCATGTAGGAGACTCATTGCTTGTTGCAATAAGATACACTTCCTGAATTGATGTTCATTACATTCATTAGTAAGGTTGAAGCATGTAAGGAATGTAGGTCCATTCCCACAACCTACAAGAGCACATTGTAAACTCACATATATCAACAGAATGCTTCTCTAACGTGGTTTTGGGATGGTTTGAGTCCACTATCCCTTCTTGGCCCACAGGAAATATTTTAACCAGAAGGACAGATACATATATGTATATATATACAGATGTTGGGTGCCAAGTCCCATTAGACCCAGCCAGGGAGATGGTCAGGGATGATGGGGCCTGCAGTTCAGCATCTGGATGGCTCCAGATTGACTAATCTGGATCTCTGCTATTGTGCTCTGCCCCCGATAATAGCACTGCAAAGAACCTTCCTTACCTTGTTTGGCATTTTGTGGTGGACAGATCAAAACTGACAGGCTGAATGTCACACAGTACTGTAGGCAGCACTGAATTCAAGAACGACACTTCCAGGTGAGACCAATTGATGGGATATGAGAGGCCTAATGGTGGGCAACCAAACAAAAAGTAAACAGAGCAACATTTTAAGGCACAGAAGGTGAAACGGGATAAACACTGATCTCCTGTCTGACAATATGTGCAGGGCACAGAGGATATTGTGCATAACAGCACCATCATATATCACAATCCAGACACTTCCAAGCCCTTAATAAATTCTGTGCCTTTTCCAATTTACAATATCATTTTTGAGAAGAGGCAACTAGAACTGTACACAGTACTCCAAGTGCTGTTATACCATAGATTTGTAGGGCATTATGATATCAGCAGTTTTATTTTCAGTTCTTTTCCTAATTATCCTTTGCATGGAATTAGCCTTTTTCGCAGATCCTGCACACCAGGTCAACCCTTTCATCAAGCTGCTGGTCTCATTCCTGGTCAGACACTGCCAGTTTGAACTCCATGAACATATAGGGGAATTTAATATTTTTGGGGGCACAATGTGGATCACTTTACATATGTTTACAATGAATTTTATTTGCCTCTTGTCATGAGGATAAATCATCTTGTGCATCACTAATGGTGAAAGAGGAGGAAGCAGAGAATAGGGGGGGGGTGGCCAGTTCTCACAATGGAAGGATATAAGAAGTGGATTCTCCTAAGGATCTGTATTGGAGCATGTGCTTTTTAACTTGCTCATAAATGACCTGGAGCTAGGGGTGAGGAGTGAAATAGCCAAGTTTGCTGTTATCAAGGTGTTCAAGGCAGTTTTGAAAGAGAGAGAGAGAGAGAGAGAGAGAGAGAGAGAGAGAGAGAGAGAGAGAGAGAGAGACCATGAGGAGCTCCAAAAGGATCTCTCCAAACTGGGCAAATTGGCCATAAAATGGCAAACACAATTCGGTGTACACAAGTGCAAAGTGATACAATCTGTGGCAAAAAAAAAATTTCTAACCTCACTTACAGGATCTGAAGTGGAAGTTACTGACCAGGAAAGAGAATTTGGGGTTGTGCTGGACAGCTCAATGAGGATGTTGACCCACAATGTGGCAGCTGTGAAACTGTGGGTTTCAAGTTAGGAATCATTAATAAAAGGGACTGAAAATAAAATTATCAATATAATAATGCCATTTTAGGAATCAACAGTGCAATTGCATTTAGAATACTTTTTTTGCAGTATTGCCCATTGTCTCTCACATAGCAGAGAATATCTTCTCTAGGATTATGTGGGCTGACACACATGAGCAGTAATTAAAGTGTGCTTCTTGCTTTAAAACTATTGTTTTCACCCACATACAAATTTAATCAGCAGATTAATTGATAAATTACCATTGGTTGACAAAATCACACATGATTAATCTCAGTGGCGTAGCGTGGGTTGTCAGCACCCGGGGCAAGGCAAGTAATTTGCGCCCCCTAACCCTTGGACCAGGTAGGGGCAGAGAGCTGCGAGTGCGAGCACGCCACCCCCCCCAGGTGCGGCCGGCCCCCCTGCACCCCCCACGCTACGCCACTGATTAATCTAGTAACATTTTCTTTAAAAAATTGGGTTGAGGTGCCACAAAGAGCAGCTAGTCTTATGACTGCCCCTTTTTGTCTAGAAATACCACCAACAGTTTCTGAGGGGCCCCAGAATCTACCCTCATATCTCAGTGTGATCCAGGTTCCACCGCCAATGCTGCCTTCCTTTGGCTCCATGGTTAGCTTTGCCAACGTAACTAAAAAAAGAACCACACATGCAATGAATTATATAATGGTTCATCAAATGGCTTTTCTTCTTAAAAGAACAATCTATTTGTAAAGGCCTTTCGGAGCATATGGATGCAGACTGAGCAGAACTGGGAGATCGTGAAAGGTTTGTGAAGGTCTCTTCCTATGAAAGAGACTCCTGCGTGTTCCATACCTCCCTCTGAAAAAACAAAGCAATGCTGGACAGAGCCTTGATGCAATGGAGGCAGCAACACTGGTTGTCTTTGCAGCTCTCCCTGCCACGTGGCAGGCCTGATTAGGAACCTGAACACATGCTTGGTCAGCTCCTGGGTGAGATATATGCCGTGCCACTCAGTCCAGTCCTTGCCTAGTCCATTTCATCAACTGCAGCTCCTCAGAATAAAGGTAAAGGGACCCCTGACCATTAGGTCCAGTCATGACCGACTCTGGGGTTGCGGTGCTCATTTCGCTTTACTGGCCGAGGGAGCTGGCATACAGCTTCTGGGTCATGTGGCCAACGTGACTAAGCCACTTCTGGTGAACCAGAGCAGCACAGGGAAACGCCGTTTACCTTCCCGCCGGAGCGGTACCTATTTATCTACTTGCACTTTGACATGCTTTTGAACTGCTAGGTTGGCAGGAGCAGGGACCGAGTAACGGGAGCTCACTTCGTCGCGGGGATTCGAACCGCCGACCTTCTGATCGGCAAGTCCTAGGCTCTGTGGTTTAACCCACAGTGCCAGCCGCATCCCACTCCTCAGTATACTAAGGGGCAAAACAGACTTCACAGTGCGGGAGTAGGCACTCAGGAACAATCATGCCCATGGCCTTACGAGCCTCCCCATTCCATAGTGGAACTAAGGCCTCAGCAGGAACTCTGGAAAGACCCCTGGGCAGGGGGTGGACCCAGAGCAGCCAGGAATCTTCCCAGCTCACATTTTAAAAAAAAAGAAAAATATTTATGTTGGGCTGCAATAAGCAAAACACATACAGTGGTACCTCGGGTTACCTACGCTTCAGGTTACAGACTCCGCTATCCCAGAAATAGTACCTCGGGTTAAGAACTTTGCTTCAGGATGAGAACAGAAATCGTGCTGTGGTGGCACAGCGGCAGTGGGAGGCCCCATTAGCTAAAGTGGTGCTTCAGGTTAAGAACAGTTTCAGGTTAAGAACGGACCTCCGGAACAAATGAAGTACTTAACCCGAGGTACCACTGTACTGTATGCTATTGGTCACAAAAACATGCTTCAGCAAACTCAGAGATACTGAGCATCCCTTGAATATGCCAGCGTATTTCCTTATTAAAGAGTATTTGATCTAGTGTGGTATCATAATTGCATGTGCTTCAAAAGTAATTGCAATGGTTTACCGTATTTTTCGCCCTATAGGACGCACTTTTTCCCCTCCAAAAATGAAGGGGAAATGTGTGTGCGTCCTATGGGGCGAATGCAGGCTTTCGCTGAAGCCTGGAGAGCGAGAAGGGTCGGTGCGCACCAACCCCTCTCGCTCTCCAGGCTTCAGGAAGCTCTCCGCAAGCCTGGGGAGCCTGCGGGAGTTCCCACCGGGCTCCCAAGGCTTGCGGATAGCAGCCTGTTCTGGGGACTGGGGTCGGGGGAAGCTTGGGCTTCCCCCGCCCAAGCCCCGTGCCTGGGGGGGAAAGTTTTTTTCTTTATTTCCCTCCCCCCAAAACTAGGTGCGAAAAATACGGTACTTCACGTTTTAGTTAACAACAAATTCTTTACTATTGCAACTGAATACATGATGAGGAAGTAAAGAAGGTCGCTAATTGGAAGCTTAGAATTTATTGTTATTATTATTATTTATTAAATTTGTATAGCAGATTGACTAAGGCAAGTTTGACGGGCCAAGCTGGTGACAGAATTTCTACAAAGCACACAGGCAAACTCTTATCTCTTTGCCACGGTGCTGATGCTCAGTAGTGCAGCTTGATAAGACTCACCTCCGAAGAAAAGCAGCAAAGCCTCAAGAATGGAAGGCATCCGAAACTCCATCTCTAACCTCTTCCTCTGCTTTCGACAATAGACTTTCTCATTGAGATCACTGCCTCATTCATAATCAGAGCTCAGAGGGTTGGTTCTCTCACATGCATTCACTGCAAAGGAAACATGTCTTATATGCTGTTTTTCTTTTTTAATACCTTTGGGGCAAACAGCTTGATGCCCAGAAGACATTTCAATACCAATTCAGAATCCTTCTTCGTAAGAGCATCTACAGACCAATTCAGAATTACTACATGGAACCAAAAAAAAAAACAGCCTGAAAGAAAGCTTTTGTATTATCTTAATCAGAATATATGGGAGATGATAGATGATAGATAGATAGATGATGATAGATAGATAGATAGATGATAGATAGATAGATAGATAGATAGATAGATAGATAGATGATAGATAGATATAGATAGATGATAGATAGATGGTAGATAGATAGATGATAGATAGATGATAGATAGAGATAGAGATAGAGATAGATGATAGATAGATAGATAGATAGATAGATAGATAGATAGATAGATGATAGATAGATAGAAGATAGATAGATAGATAGATAGATAGATAGATAGATAGATAGATAGATAGATAGATAATAGATAGATAGATGATAGATAGATAGATAGATAGATAGATAGATAGATAGATGATAGATGATAGATAGATAGATATAGATAGATGATAGATTAGATAGATAGATAGATAGATAGATAGATAGATAGATAGATAGATGATAGATGATAGATGATATAGATGATAGATAGATAGATAGATAGATGATATAGATGATAGATAGATAGATAGATAGATAGATGATAGATAGATGATAGATAGATAGATAGATAGATAGATGATAGATAGATAGATAGATAGATAGATAGATAGATAGATAGATGATAGATAGATAGATGATAGATAGATAGATAGATAGATAGATAGATAGATAGATAGATAGATAGATGATAGATAGATAGAGATAGATAGATGATAGATATAGATAGATAGATGATAGATAGATAGATGATAGATGATAGATAGATAGATGATAGATAGATCAGTGTTTCCCAAACGTTTTTGGGCAACGGCACACCTGTTTACTGAAAAAAAATCTCGCGGCACACGACCATTAAAGCCCCGCCCCGTGACGTCAGCGCGCAGCGTCACGCCGGGAGGGACGCACAAAAGTGAAAGTTTTTTCCCTCCCCCTTGCTGGGGAACCTCCAAGCTTTGGGGGTGGGAGGAGGCAGCAGAGCGAGGGACTGAGGGACGGCGGCAACTGAGGCGGCGGCGGCTGAGGCAGAGCTGGGAAGGGGGTTTCCAGGGGACACGGCAGCTCCTCGAAAGGCTTCTCTCAGCTGCGCTCAATCCGCCTCGGAGAGGATTTCCCCTCCGGTCCCATGCGTTCGTTTGGGGCATCGCTCCGGCTGCTCCCTCTCCCGCCGCGCAGGAGCGATGCCTCTCTCTGGCTCTCCCTCCGCGCAGGCTGAGGGAGGGAGGGAGGGGCGCGTGTGACCCGTCTCTGCTGGGAGACCAAACCCAGCGAGGCAGTCGCGTGGAGGCGCCCAGGCAGCGCTGCCGGCTGCGAGGAGGAGCGCCAGGCAGCAGCAGGAGGCGCGGCCTCTCCTCGCCGCCGCCGCCCCGCCTCTCGCCGCCCGACTCGCCCGCCTCCCTCCAGGCATCTCGCGGCACACGAGGCAACGTCTCACGGCACACTCGTGTGCCGCGGAACACCGGTTGGGAAACACTGAGATGATAGATAGATAGATAGATAGATAGATAGATAGATAGATAGATAGATAGATGATAGATGATATAGATATAGATAGATATATAGTTGATAGATGATGATATAGATGATAGATAGATTAGATAGATAGATAGATAGATAGATAGATAGATAGATAGATGATTGATAGATAGATAGATATAGATAGATAGATAGATAGATAGATAGATGATAGATAGATAGATAGATAGATAGATAGATAGATAGATAGATATAGATAGATAGATAGATAGATGATATAGATGTTAGATAGATAGAGATAGATAGATGATAGATAGATTAGATAGATAGATAGATAGATAGATACACAGACAGATAGATATCTGTTACCACATCCTTTGTATGAGTGTGTGTGAGAGAGAGAGAGAGAAAGAGAGAGAGAAGGCTACTCTGCTGGTAGATTTAAGCTCCCATTTAAGGTGCTGTGGTTTTGAGGCCATCTGCTGAGGGCCCACCTTGCCATCAGAAGTGAGGTGTGGCAACTGGATAGGCTTTTCCAGCTCCCATGCCCTGTTTGTGGAACTCTCTTCCCAAGGGGGAACACCTTTGTTATCATTCAGGAATGAGGTCCAAACATTTGTGTTTACCTAGGCTAGGGCTTGCCGATCAGAAGGTCAGCGGTTCGAATCCCCGTGACGGGGTGAGCTCCCGTTCTTCAGTCCCAGCTCCTGCCAAACTAGAAGTTCGAAAGCACGTCATGTGCAAGTAGATAAATAGGTACTGCTCCGGTGGGAAGGTAAACGGTGTTTCCATGCACTGCCCTGGTTCCCCAGAAGCGGCTTAGTCATGCTGGCCACATGACCCGGAAGCTGTCTGTGGACAAACACCGGCTCCCTCAGCCTGAAAGCGAGATGAGCCCTGCAACTCCAGAGTCGTCTGTGACTGGACCTAACAGTCAGGGATCCCTTTATCTTTACCCTTTACTAGACCATAAAGAAGGCTGATCGCCGAAGAATTGATGCTTTTGAATTATGGTGCTGGAGGAGACTCTTGAGAGTCCCATGGGCTGCAAGAAGATCAAACGTATCCATTCTGAAGGAAATCAGCCCTGAGTGCTCACTGGAAGGACAGATCCTGAAGCTGAGGCTCCAATACTTTGGCCACCTCAATAAGAAGAGAAGACTCCCTGGAAAAGACCCTGATGTTGGGAAAGATGGAGGGCACAAGGAGAAGGGGACAGAGGATGAGATGGCTGGATAATGTTCTCGAAGCTACCAGCATGAGTTTGACCAAACTGTGGGAGGCAGTGGAAGACAGGAGTGCCTGGTGTGCTCTGGTCCATGGGGTCACGAAGAGTCGGACACGACTAAACGACTAAACAACAACAACAGGCTTCAGTTATATTGGCTGATTTGAACTGAATGTTGTATTCTGCCGTTTTGTTTTAGTTTTGTTATATTATAATTACATGAATGTTAGTACCTCATATTTGGTGGGGATGCGGAGAAGGCCTTCTCAGTGGTGGTTCCTCCAGGCAACCTTGAAACTCCCTTCCTAGAGAAGCCAGTCTGACTCCCACCTTGTACTTCTGCCAGCAGATGAAGAAGACCTTGTTCCAGCAGGCTTTGGGGAACTGACTACTTTAAAGGAAAGGGCTGGTGCTGTGATGTTTTTGTTGTAATTATCTAAATTGTTTTAGTAGATCATTCATATATAGAAAGAGTTTTAGTTCTTTTAATGTTTAACTGTTCTTGATTGATTGTGTGTGTGGGGGGGGTTCTCTATATTTTTAACTGCTCTTATTTGATCTATAAGCTGACTTAAGTCCCTGTCAGGGAAAAAGGCTGGATATAAATAAATATATTGATGGGTGGGTGGATGTGTTAACAATAGGTTTTATTTTAAAGAAACATTTGGAGATGAAGTTCTATAGTTAATTTATAATTTAATTAAAAACAAACAGATCTCACAATTCAGATAGGTAGCCCTGTTGGTCTGAAGCCGTCAAAATAAAATTGTCCAGTAGCACCTCAGAGACCAACTAAGTTTGTTCTGGGTATAAGCTTTCGTGTGCATGCACACTTCTTCAGATCTCACAATTAGGAGCGAAATCAAGTAGACCAGCTGCTTGGCTCTGCAGAACTGGCAATGTGACAAGATCCACAAAGTACCAGTTCTACACTTGTAATAAATAATTCTTTTGTTGTGGCAGCAACTTCCTGCCCATTGACATCATGCAGGCACCATCACAGTATTCTTTTCGGCAACCGCTTAAAGTACTTTTCTTTATGCAAGCCTATCCAGTATGTAGATATTTTAAAAGTTTCTTAATACTTGCTTTTAGCTGTTTTACTGACAATTTAAATATTTCTTCTAAACCACTTCCATGTTTTATTACAATCAAACAGTATAGATATTTTGTTAGACAGACAGACAGACAGACAGACAGATAGACCGGTCCTCCCCAAGATACATCTGCAACAAACAAGCATTTTCTCAATATGCCACAATCACCAGTGAGTTTATATGCTTCAAAATTCTGCTATTGCATACCTTTATAGTACTTGTTCCTCCTCCAGTTTTTTGATCCAATAATTAGACAGTGGTATACGGAGTTTCAAAATTAACCATTTTCAAAGTCCTATAATTTAGTTCTGTTCCATTGTTTCAACTCGTACTGGATTTTTAAATAGTCAACAATAGCTTTTGCTTTTCCAGAAACTGGAAAAAGCTGTACTGTAACTAAAACTAGTGTGTGACCAATCTGAATGCTTGCGGTAGCAGGGGTGTGAGTGATTTTTCTCGGGGCAAGCTTACTTATTAACGTAAGCTACTTATGCTATTAAGCCAGCTTGCCACAAGCCTTTTTTTCATGGTGATACAGAAGTAGCTTGGGACGTTTCTCCTAATCTTATTTAATAATTTTAAAGAGAGAAAAACGCAGTTTGAAATATACATTCTAACCTTTTTTTATTTTTCACATTTAAAAATAACATAAGCAATTGTCATTTAACAGTCCTTTAGTTTTGAGGACTATTCTATATGTGAGGAACATATAGATGATTCGTAGGTTTCCGCAATCTGGTACCCTCTAGATATTTTGCTCTACAACTCCCATCATGGTTAAGGAATAATGGCAAAAGATTATAAAGGTAATTTCTGGATTAACATATTTCTTGAAATAAAATAGAAGTTAATAGGGATTTGTTATTTTCGGGAATACTGGGAAATAAAATAGAAGTTAATAGGGATTTGTTATTTTCGGGAATACTGGGAAATAACAAAGTAATAAGCAAGAGTTGCACAAGATTATGATTCTAGCTGGAATGACAGTTATTGTTCTGGGGTGGAAAGAAAAGGCCAAATGGAGTATGGAAAAATTGAATGATTATGTTTTTGAATACGTACAATCAGAAATATTTGCACAGATAGTGGCAGATGGGAAAATAAATGCCAAAGAATCACAAATAAATGGGCATTTTACAGGAACTGGATAGAAAGGGGGGGAGCCAACCCTAACATACAAGCTCAAATGAACAGACTGTGTACATGGATAAAGATATGAAGAAGGAAGGCCTGACCGGGGGGGAGGGGGGAGGGGAATTATTTTTTTAAAAAGTAAACTGGATAGTATTTTGAATTGATTTTGTTATGTAAGCCTTTTTCAGAAACCATATATACTAATGTTATGTAGTTGCGTGTGTAGGTCCCCAGGCCACCCCTCAAATAACTTCACACATAACACGTAATTTTAGTTTTGGTTTTTGGGCACTATTTTGGCCACAACTTTATTAAAATACAAAATCAGTGAGTGGTTGTTTAGACATTGGTTATGACTATCTGTCCCCCCGCCTGGGACAGAACTGACATCCCGAGGTCCGATCGGTAGCCAGTAGAAGGGAAAGTCAAACTTGGGGGTCATTTGAGCTAAGCGTCGGACCCACGCCGCTCACCCCAGCAGCTCCCCGAAAGCTTGCCGGCCCAGATCCTATGACAAGGATTCCCATAACAGGGATTGGATGAAATCATGGCAAGCCCCAGGATTCCTTTAACGGAATTCCCTTCAGCGCAATAGGAGGGGCAGGCACAGCCTATCCTGACCCCTCCACCACCAGCATATTATAACCAATGCCTAACCGCAACCTTACAAGTTGTGACGAATTGCTGAGTAGTAGGCAAAAACCAAATGGCACAGCCAATCACCAAATGGCAAAATTCCTACTAGGCCCCTGCGCCAAGGCAGATGACCCCATGACAGGCAAAGCAAGGTCAACCGGAAAAGAGGGCGGGCGGGCGGGTGATCCGATGCACTCTGCAAAGAGAAAGAGAAACCAGAGTGCACCAATATTTAAAGACTATGGTCCCACCCACCCAATTTGCAACATACAATTTGCCCCAGCAACCCGGTTACCCAATCACAATGCCAGGCAACAACTATTAACCTGCCTGGCAACAAGACGCCTGGCCCGGTGGCCCACACCGCAACACGTGCTCTCATTTATTGGAGAACACGCTTTATGCCTTGTAGTATGAATGAATTTTGTGTTGTATTCTTTGTTTTATAGAATATATATAATAATGTTATGTTATTAAGCAAATTTAATAAAATTATCAACATGTCTGATAATTTTCCGTAATTAACACAAATCTTCACATTTCTTAATTTATATTGCACTATATATATCTTATCTTACCATGTTGTTTAAACAATATTTCTACCAAATCTTCTTACAGAGCTTCTTGAAAACTTACAAACATTATATCATTATCACAAATATTTTTAATATATTCTGTAAATTTACTCCAGTCCTCAGTGAATCTTTGGTCTCTTCGGTTGTGAATCCTCCCTGTCAATCTGTCCAGTTCCGCGTAATCCATTAATTTCGATCTCCATTCTTCAATCGTAGGCATTTCTTCTTGTTTCCATTTCTGGGCCAAAAGAGTTCTGGCTGCTGTTACTGCATCCAGAAATACTTTCTGATCGTTCCTTTTAATTTCACCACCTAATATTCACAATAGAAATGCTTCTGGTTTTTTAACAAATGTATATTTCAGTATTTTCTTTATCTCATTATATATCATTTCCCAGAAGCACTTCATTTTTTTACATTCCCACCACATATGATAAAATGTCCCTTCTTTCTCCTTACATTTCCAACATTTATTACTCACCTTATACATCTTACTTAATTTAACTGGTGTTATATACCATCGATATATCATTTTCATAACATTTTCTTTAATTGTGGTACATGCCGTAAATCTCATCCCTTCCTTCCACAATTTTATCCAATCATCAAATTGAATATTATATCCAAAGTCTTTGGCCCATTGAATCATAACTGATTTAACCTCTTCATCCTTCAAATGCCATTCCAATAATAATTTATACATCATAGATAAATTTTTAACTTCCTTATTCAATACTTCTCGTTGAAACCTAGATTCTTTTTCAAAATAGCCTCTTTCTGTAACCTCTTTTCTAAACATTTCATTAATCTGAAAGTAATACAGCCAATCGTTTCTTTCACTTCTTCATATAGTTTCATTTAAGATATTAAGAAGAAGGAGGAGGCTCTTAATATCAGGGTCATGGGTTCGAACCTCATGTTGGGCAAAAGATTCCTGCATTGCAGGGGGTTGGACTAGATGACCCTCGGGGTCCCTTCCAGCTTGACAGTTCTATGATTTTATGTTTCTAACAGATCCATTGGGGAAGAGCAACTGGTGCAATTTTCAGCCATTGCAGTAAAGCAGCAGGGCAGGAGGATACTAGAAATAGTTCCAAGAGTATAAAACTCAGAATCTAAAGGAAAACAAGTGGGCATTTAAAAAGTAGCCCCCAAATAGCTCCATCCACATTTCAAAAAGGGGGGAAATGAACGCCTTGATTTCAGTGGTAAATAAGTTTTCTAAAATCACACCATATGATGGGGAGCATTTGGGGCACAGGGTGGCAGTGGTGAGCCACTGAAGAACTGGAGAGAAAGTCAATGGATCAATGTAAAACTGCAGCCAAGCTTTGTTTTGCTCAAACCTCATTCCTGTACAGTGCCTAGTGGTGAGGTGTTGGGATTGATTGATTGATTGATGGATGGATGGATGGATTTGGTGCATTTCTTTTCCAGTAAATTCTTCTTGTTATTGCGCTCCATCTGAATTCCAGCCTAAAGGGACATCACATCTCTGACTTGGATATCTCAGGCAGGGAATGCTGGCCACTATCGGATTTGGAGAGGGAAATGGCAGTTGTTTATAGCTCAGCTACCGCCATGATTTACTGGAATGGGCACAGATCAGACAAGGGTTTCTCCTATCTCTCCTGTTCAGTCTCAGTATTGGAGTGCTGGCTCAAAAAGTGCACGCAGATTCATTAATCTAAAATAAATCCAAATTAGGGATTAATGAAGATGAATAGGGGGAAAAGGAATATTACAATATCTAAACAGAGAGACAACAGGATTCACTATCTTGGCATTTTAGTGGATAATAAAGTTAATAAATTAATTGAGCATAATTTAGCACCAGTTAAAAAATAGTCAGAGGTAGATGAAATATCCAATGTGAGCTGAGATGAAACTTCTGCAAAAGTTTATGTTCATGCTTTTAGGACATCCTTGGTTAGTTCCGCAGACAACCCTGTATAAAATACAAACAATAGCAAATATATAATTATAAAGTGACTCCCTAGGGCAAAAGCTAAAATAATACAGCAATAAATACTGTGCCAACTCCCTGGGGCCCTGAGTGCCTGAACACCCACAAAGTTCCCCATGAAGGGGCCAGGCACCCACAAATTTTGGTGCCAGGGCCATGTACGCTGCATGGCACCCACAGCCCCGGGCGCCCACAGTCGCAGGGCCAAGTTGGCACTCCTGCAAAGGGGTGTTTCTTCTAAATATTCAGAAACACCATGGTGCAGCACTAATAACTACAGCGTTACAATGTAATAACACTTATAGGCAGGGCCGGGTTTAGGTTTGATGAGGCCCTGCTACTGAAGGTAATGGGGCCCTTTATATGTCTAGCTGTCCTTTGTCAACAGCAAATTGTTTTTTGTGTTGAGTATATGCTCTATGGTAATTTATGGACCTAACAGGTATCTAAAGCCATTTGCACATGCAGAATGTAGGCACCCTATATATAGAAATGAGCAAACCAGTGATATTTTAGGGAGCAAGCTAGCAGGCCATTGCTTACATCATAAGAGCCTACACAACACAAAACACTGTTGCTGTATGTAGGTTTTATTTTACTTGTTTTTATCTTATATTTTGGAAAAGTACATCCAGGGTTTTTTTCCTTTAAATTTTTTTGGGGCCCCCAAGGAAGTGGGGCCCAAGCTATAGCTTGTTTAGCTTATACGTAAATCTGGCACTGCTTATCGGGCATAATCGTATATTGAAAATTTGCCATAGGATTTAGTTTTAAACTCGACTAGGCCAAGGAACAAGGTGTGATTCCACTATGACACATCTGCCAGCAGAACAACACAAATGCATTGGTGTCTAAGGGAAGGATGAGGAGGAAGAGGCACAATGAGTCCTCCTGGGATGCTGCTTCACAAGGCATAGCCTCCCTGCCTTGCAGGCCTTTTCCCACCTGGCCTGGGAGGGCAGCACCCGGACTGACTCCAGCTACAAAAGCTGAGGCTGCTGAAGAGGCCAAAGACTATCTTGGTTGCCCATTGGTGCAGACCCAGGTCATGGAGCCTGAGCTTCCACAGCCGCCATGAACCACCATTGGGTAGGCAGGACTGGCAGCAACAGCAGCAGCAAAGTTCTATGCTTTGGATAATATTTTATTCTCTTGCTAACTGTGCTGTTTTAAAGGTGCATTTTGTATTTGACTTCCTCTAGTAATGTTTTCTGCAATTTTTGGCTAGCTTTCCTGCATTCAATGTGCCTTTTGCAGTTGACCTCCTTTGTAATGTTTTATTTTGAAACCTTGAATATTTTCATTTCCTGTTATTATGTTGCTTTGAACGTATACTCTCTTTTTTACTTTCTTCTGTAATGTTTTATTTGATGTTTTAATGTGTTGTAAATGGATTTGAGGCATTTTTCCCTTGGAAATATAAAGCAGTATAACACTATCTCCAGATTTTTAAAACAGCATTTATGAGTCATTATGAGCAGCACTCGGCCATTTTTCAGGACCAGGAGCTCTATCAAGCCCAGCACTGCACCCTGAACTGGGATTCCTCACCTTCCTTCCCCCACCCCTGTCACCCGATCTCCAGCTCAGCCACTAGAGGACAGTTGCTCACAATGGAAAATCTCTGCTTCTCATTCAGTCTGATTGGCAGCCTCTGCTGAGGATCAAAGTTAGGTTCAAAAGAATATCCCACCCCAATGCTCAGGCCCATTTTTGTATCAGAGACTGTTCAGCCTTTCTGTTCGAACAAGGGAACTGACATGAACATTTCTCTCCACCATTGCATGCTGCTGAGATGGCTTTAGCCCAAGTCAGCAAGAGCAGGCATGCTAAATTTTCAGTCTATTGATCATTGAGCACAAACAGATTTATGGATCTATGGCATTTATACCCCACCTTTCCTCCGAGGAGCCCCAGATGGCATACATGGTTCTCCCTCTCCCCCATTTTATCCTCACAACAACCCTGTCAGGTAAGTTGGGCTGAGAGTGCGTGACTGGCCCAAGGTCACCCAGTTTCACTTGATATGGCTGGTTTTTCATATCACTTACCACCACAATTTCTTCTGATTTATGCTAAGAAAAATATATTTTGGGATGTCTTAGGGCACTGTTTCTAAGAACATCCTAAGACCAATTGGAACAAATTGCCCCTGTCACATTTCAGCCAATGAATTTCTTTAAATGCTAAATTTACTGCTGGCACAGCTGCTTTAGCAACAGGTTGGAGCATTCTCCAGTTTCGAGAGACAGCTTGTTTCAGCTCCAACCTTCTGTGTTGGTCACTGAGTATGTGTGGCTAACCATTCCTTCATTCATTCATTCATTCATTCATTCATTTAGGTGTTTCACTTATACCCTGCTTTTCAGCCAAGAATGGCTTCCAAAGCAGCTTATAATTAAAAACATGCAAAATTTACACTACAATAGCAACTTGTAGTTACCCAGTTTAGGCTCTTCTCCTCTGTGCCTGTGGAGACCTGTGGCTGGGATATCTGGCTCTGAAGTCTCCTCATGGCCATTGACAGGGCAAGGATCTGCTCTGTGGGGTCTTGCTTCCTTCTCCTTCTCTTGGGAGAGGCCAGGTTTCAGATCCAGCTAGGGTTGAATCCCATATTTTCTTTTCTCTGTCAGTTGATGACATCCCCCACATTCCAGGCTCTTCCTTCACAAGAGAGCAGGCAGAAGGAACTGCAGATGGACTCAGGGGGTGGCTGGTGATAAAAGTTCCCACCCACTGAAGAAGCCTTCCCAAAAGATTATTCCTTGGTCGCATCTTTAAGGGAATTCATAACACACTATGGAGAATCAAATAAGTAGGACCTGCAGCAAAATGTTGCACTTCTGTCTAGCATTCTATCCAGCCAGCCATGTCCTTTAACAATTTGCTCCATTTCTCCATCCTCCTGGTTTTCATGCCCACCCCCTGCCAACATTCAGTCAGGGAGTATTCTGTGGCCGCATAACATGCGCAAATATCAATCATTCTTGTGCAAACCTTTGGGTTTCCCAGAGCCTACGGATGCATCTATTTTCGCAGTGCCTCCCCTCCCTCGCCAAATACTATGTGAGGTGTGACAGTACAAACTCAAGAAGGCAACAATCTGGATTTGTAGTTGCAAATCACACACACACACACACACACAGCTACAGAGGGGGAAAGGCAGAATTTGGAGATAGTGAAGAGGGAAATGTGCAAAGGCTTGGCAGTCGTGAGGATGTGAGAGAAGGTGTAACAAAGAGCCTATCCAAAGTCTTCCTGCTTAGCTGGCATTCTCAAGGCAACATGGTTTCCATAATAAACAAGGACTTGGTGTCACTGCTGGATTTCTGAAAATAAATTAAGACATTTAAGGACTAGTTTATCAAAATGAGGTGTTGCTGTATATCTGTGCTACTGTTGGTATTGTTCTCAAGCAGTAAACGATTTTCAGTAAAGCCAGGTTACATCTTGAAACACTGGAAGTATTATTGTCCTTTTGTCCTCCCATTTTCACCTGTTTGTCTCTCACACAAAACGTTTTCCACTTTGACCTTCTCTGTCCCAGCGGTACACGGTTTCGGTAATTCTGTACATTTGCCCGCTCTGCTTGCTGCCTTGACAGCAGCTGTATAAACCTCAAGAAGAACAGCTGCTGAGCACCATCGCCAATGTCTTGGGCCGTGCAAGAAAAAGCTCAAACCTTTTGCAGATTGGCATGCTTCTTAGAATGCTTGTTTCTAAAAAATAAAAACAAATACCCGAAAAGCTCTGTGAGTGTGTTTAAAATTAATTGCAGGGTCAGAATGATGTACATTTTAAAAAATTGTGTGTGTGTCCTCCCCCTTCTTTTGCATTGCGATGAGGTAATTATTATTTTTTCAGACTCCTAGAAGAGAAAGGAAATAGAAACCCAACAATTTAGTAGGAACTTTGGGTGGGTCATGTTTTAATCTTCACTTCCAGATGCATCCATAAATATATGTTGAGCCGCATTGGGAAGGATTATTAAATACATATGGTGTTGAATTCTGGAATCACACCTTCCGTTCAATCACAGAATCGATTTTGAATGTTTAAAAGAGGGGTATGTATGCCTTTTAAGTAAAACCAATATCTTTATATCTTTATAATCCTTGAAGAAGCCACTTTCTTCATATTCTACCCAAATGACATTGCCAACCATGTGAATTTCATCCCTGCACACACACTGTGATTCACTGTAATGGAGGTGATTAATACAACGTTGATAAAAACCGTGTAAACAGATGGGCTTAGTTCCTACTGGAAATCTTCCTAATTTCTAAGGCAAATCAAAGATACTTGTACATCATTCTAAAAAGGCCGTCTAAAAAGAGCAGCTGCACTAGGCCACACATTCCAAAAGAACTCTTAGAATTTGCATCAACCAACAACTGCTTCCACTCCCCTCACAAGTGTGCAAGCAGGTGTGGGACACTACAATTGCGCCAGAGCACTCTTGCTTATGACCCTGTCGTGGGTCTGCATGAAGGAGCAAAGTTGTACAAAATATGATCCTGGGTTTGCATTAGGCAGATCAAGCACATTTATTTATTTTGAATCATTGATGCTGCTTCTACTAGTTGAAAATCTCCCCTCTTCGGATTTCTAAACACTTTCAAATCTATTGTTGTGTCCAAAAGAGCTAAAAAAATATTCTTTCTCATTAAAACAAAAGCAAATCACTAGGAAGCTGAATTCTGCACCAACACTACATTTTGTGGGGTTTCTACATTTTTTAATTAATTATATGCATTTTATGCAGGCTGACAGATTGAACACAACTCTAACAGCCACAATAACCAAAGGAGTTCAGTAGCTGATACTGTTTTACAGTCTCTATTCACTTTTCCCTAGAAGGTTTCATGCACACTTAATCTTGAGTGCCACCCAGGACCTGGGGTGAGATGCAAGTACTGAACCAATTGAGAGAAGTGACCACAGGGACTGAAGGTGGATTTCAGATAAAAACAGCTAAAACAACAACAACAACAACAATCTTTATTACGGTCCAGAGACCCAACAAAACATTACAAATCAATACAGTACACAGTTCATACAGCCTACCTTCAGGTTAATCAAGCGTTCTGTTTAGAATATAGGGCTCATTTGTTCTTGCAACCACCGATAAAAACTTTGCCAGCTAAAACATAGGGGGAATCATTTTTTTTAAAATCAATTAATCTTTTATAGAATTCAAACTGTATTAAAATCTATTTAAACTATACAAATAATTAAAATAAAATCAATGCTTATATTAAAAGTAGTCAGTTCCCAAAAGCCTGTTGGAACAAGAAAGTCTTCACTGACAGGCGGAAGGACAACAAGGAGGGAGCTTATCGGAAAAGTTAGAGGTGGATATAAACTCTAAAGCAGTGCTGATCTTTGTGGACGCGGAGAAAGCCTTTGACAATATTTCTTGGAGTTTCATGAAAAAGAATCTTCATGGGATGGGGGTGGGCCAAGGTTTTGAGAATGGTATGGGAGCGATATATTCTGAACAAAAAAGCTAAGCTGATTGTAAATAATGTAATAACTGAGGAACTCAAGATAGAAAAAGGAACACGACAGGGGTGCCCAATTTCCCCACTGCTTTTTATCTCGGTTCTGGAGGTATTGCTGAATATGATCAGAAATGACCAGCAGGTTAAAGGTGTACAGGTCGGAGCTAAACAATACAAGCTAAGAGCATTTGCAGATGACTTAGTATTGACCCTGCAAGAGCCAAACACTAGTACGAAAAAGGTATTAGAAATAATCCAGCAGTTCGGCCAGGTAGCTGGATTTAAACTGAATAAACAAAAAACTAAAGTCTTAGGAAAAAACTTAACAGATATGGAGAAGGAGAAATTTCAAGAGGAGACAGGGTTGACGGTGGTTAAGAAGGTGAAATATCTAGGGGTTTATTTGACATCTAAGAATTTGAACTTGTATAAGGATAACTATGAAAAATGTTGGTCAGAAATTAAAAAAGATCTAGAAATATGGTCAAATTTGAAATTGTCAATGTTAGGCCGAATTGCAGTGATTAAGATGAATGTATTGCCTAGAATGTTATTTCTGTTTCAGACCTTGCAGATTCTTGACAAGATGGATTGTTTTAAGAGGTGGCAGAAAGACATCTCGAAATTTGTCTGGCAGGGCAAAAAGCCCAGAATTAAATTTAAAATATTGACAGATGCCAAAGAAAGAGGGGGATTTGCCCTGCCGGACCTAAAATTGTACTATGAAGCAGCAGCGTTTTGCTGGCTGAAAGAGTGGATGCTCCTCGAGAACACAGACATCTTGGATTTGGAAGGTTTTAATAATGTATTTGGTTGGCATGCATATCTATGGTATGATTAAAATCAAGGCGCATAGGGCCTTTAAAAACCATATTGTCAGAAAAGCATTGTTTAATGTTTGGATAAGATATAAAGATCTGCTGGAAAACAAAACCCCTAGATGGGTGTCTCCTGTGGAGGCTAAGGCATGGAAGAAACTCAATATGGAGGTCGGATGGCCGAAGTTATTGGGAGATTTTGGAACAGGAGGGAGATAAATTGAAATTACAAAGTCACGAGAAATTGAAACCTAAAGTACAAGACTGGTTTCAATATCACCAACTAATGGAGATTTTTAAACAGGACAGGAAAATTGGTTTCCAGGTGGAAAAATCAAAATTAGAGACTGAATTGCTAGAACCCAACACTAAGAATTTGTCAAGAATGTATAACTTGTTGCTGAAATGGAATACACAAGATGAAACAGTTAAATCAGCTATGATTAAGTGGGCACAGGACATTGGTCATAACATTATGTCTGCTGACTGGGAGTGGTTGTGGAACACCGGTATTAAATTCACGGCATGTAATGCCTTAAAGGAAAACATTATGAAAATGACTTACAGGTGGTACATGACCCCAGTCAAGCTAGCAAAAATATACCATTTGCCTGATAACAAGTGTTGGAAATGTAAAGAGACTGAAGGTACTTTTTACCACCTTTGGTGGACATGCCCGAAGATCAAGGCTTTCTGGGAAATGATATATAATGAAATGAAAAAGGTACTTAAATGTACTTTTCTTAAAAAACCAGAGGCCTTTCTCTTGGGCATTGTCGGCCAATTGGTGTCAAAAAAGGACAGAACTTTCTTTATGTATGCTACAACAGCAGCAAGGATACTTATCGCAAAGTATTGGAAGACACAAGATCTACCCACTCTGGAAGAATGGCATATGAAAGTGATGGACTACATGACATTGGCTGAAATGACTGGCAGAATCCGTGATCAGGGAAAAGAGACGGCGGAAGAAGAATGGAAGAAATTTAAAACCTACCTTAAGGACTACTATAAACTTGATGAATGTTAGAATGTCGAGGTTTTTAGAAAGAAAGGGTTACAGCGATATAAGATTAGACTAAAGGAAAGATTAAGATGAAAGAGGTTGGAAAAATATTTAGAAGTTGCTAAAAAATTATGGACATTGGGATGCAGAAAGGGGGGGTATGGGGGAGTCCCGGGAAAGAGGTTTATGAAAAAAATGTTATGAAATTATACATGTTTGTATGGTTTTTTTTGGTTGTTTGTTTGTCCTTAAAAATTTGTAAAACCAATAAAAATTTTATAAAAAAAAAAAAAAAACAAGGAGGGAGCTTATCTAGCTTCTCCAGGGAGGGAGTTCCAAAGTTGTCTGGGAGCAGCCACCACCGAAAAGGTCCTCTCCCACATACCTGTGAAGGTGGCCAGACCAAGAGGAGGGCCTCCTCTGAAGATCTCAAAACCCAGTCAAGTTCATATGAGGGAACACAGCATTTCAGATAGCTTGGACCTAAGCCACACAGTGCTTTATATGTCATAACTGGTACCCACCATCTTAAAGAATTCAAATGTTAAATTGCTGGTCTCCTAACAAAAAATATGTAATTTGTCCTTTTGAGTCCTATATTTGACCTTCTTCCTGCAGTCCTGACCAATTAGATGTAGCCGCCCACCTGTTCTGCAAAGAATTTCAGTCACGAGGAACAACGGCAGCGACTTTCATGAAGCAGCTCAGTGCTGACTTTGGATGGTTCCTTCACCAGATCAGAGACTGTGGTGACACTTCAGGCAGCTTGACTTCTAAATACATCAAGAATATGTACAGCAAGAGAGAGCAATGTGAAGCGGGAACTAATGTAAATATTTCATGTAATGAATCAATTCTACAGTAGATATTGCAGGTATTTCACTGGCATTGCAGTTTTAGAAATCTGTGAAAACAATTATTTCAAATTAAGGTTAAACATTCATTGGTTGCAAGAAAAAAATACGGTAACTACAGTGCGTCAAGAGCATCTCAAAAATTTTTAATAAAAAAAGGTAATTCACATCCCAGATTTATAAAGTTACCTTGGAAAGATCATGATTATGGAATATTTAACTCCTGATTCTGGGACACAGCATCTTTTGATGGCAAACCAGCAAAGAAACCTAATTCATTCCAGAGACGACTAAATAACAATTTAGATCTTGTTTTGTTAATGGCTCTAC